AAAGTTCAGAGCCTGTAGGAATCTGCCTGCCTGCATGAAGACCAGCTCATCTCCCCACTGAAGTGGTACCTATTTATCTACTTGCATATAACTTGCTTTCAAACTGCTAGGTGATCAGAAGCTGAGGCAAGTGACAGGAGCTCACCCCATAACATAGTGCTAGGATTCGAACTGCTGGAACAGAGACCACCTCCAGCATCATTAAGCCACTGAGCCACTGTGCCTCTAAGCCAAACTTGATTCCTTGTGATTTCTTGGATATATCTATGTAGTTTTCCCAACAACAGTACAAAAGTGATAATGCTATTAATTTCTTCTGAGATATTTTCCTACTTTCCTGTTAAGCCTTATTCAACTTGACAGTCTCTCATCTAATATTAGCTAGGTTCAACTCTATTTGACTAGCTGCTGCCATCTAGCTAGATATTTATAGTTAGTCCAGCCCTTACAAACTTTAGATAAACATCATAGCTTTAAATTCTACCTGCAGTGGTAAAAAGTAATGCATTCTTTGGGAGTGAGCTTATTCCCCAGTCTATACCCCATTGGTATAGATCCCTTCGCATTAGTTTGCGTCATCTTTCTGTTTCATTAGATTATATCTCCCCTATTCTACATCCAAGCCTCCTATTATTCCAGTTTCCATGATCTCTTCCACAGCTTTCAGCAAATGTCTGCCTCTCTTCACTTCCTCACACTCAATTCAGTTCTTATTTCCTCTTTCATTGCTCCATCAACTTGCAATAGCTTTACTTGTTCTTCTCATCAGGCCTTTTGCATTTATTCACGTTTCCTATTTGAGTCAAGAACTAATACCTAACCTGGGCTTGCTCCATTTGATCAACCTATCAGTAAGCTGTCCTCCCCATTTTCTGCTTCTCAGTCTGTGATGTATAACTTCATTCACATTGACCAGATGGTGCCCATTGTATATAGTGGCTAGGCAGATGTGGAAGATATGGAAATTTCCATCATTTCTTATTTGTGGCTTGCCATCCCTACATTACCCATCTTTACTATGGGAAGGTATTCTGTATCTTGGCTTCCAAACTGTGCTGATACATCGAATTTGAATGAAGGTATAAATACTTGTAGAACACTACACCTGGATCGCAGAGTTGAACCGTCACAATAATGAAAAGTATTCAACTTCCTACTGTGAAAAGTTCACTGTGGCTCCCTGAGAGAGGCATCTATTAGCAAAAATACCAGAAGGATTTATAAATTAAGTAATTGTGGCTTAGAGCTTTAAACAAAATAAAATTTAGAATTAATACTTACAGTGAGATGAACCAATAGAGAAGCAGCCAAGTGGGGAACACAGAAGGAAGCCCATCCAGTTCAGTGCACATTGTGGTTTTATTCCTTGGCAGTCGTTGAAAGATCATAGCATATTTTCAGATTTCTTTGTTTCAAGCACCCTTTCTTCAGCACCTACTTTTCACTTCTCGCTCAGCCACTCATATGTTCTGTGGGTGGTAATTCCTTTGTGTGTGTTCTGTGCCAAGCCCTTGCTGACTCAGTCACCTCAGAAACTGGGATTTATATTATTACCTAATTGCCTAGGTTGCAGGAAATAGGTGTGCATGACTCTGAAGCATCAGCCCACATTACTTTACCTCAAGAAAAACTAGAGCTTCTGTGGAACCTTGGAACCACAAATTTTTATTCTTCAGGAGCGTTACTGGAAGAAGGTACAGATAAGGAAATAAAAAAGGATCTAGCAAATTTAGTTCTGTTGCCCAAGCCCCAAATACAAGAGATTTATATAATTCCACATATGGCTTCAAATAGAATGTCTCTTCCTTCCTCCCTTCCCCTCCCCTGTATTGAAATGAGAATGGTGCAATAAAACAAAGAATTCGCCGGTGACTTATATCAAATAACATGGCAAATGGTTAGAAAAAAAATGATGGCCTGAGATATTTTAAATTGTCTTTGCCCATGTTTTCATCTAATACTTTTACTTCTCTGTTGAACTTGAACTTATCTTTCTGGAATTAAAAAGCAATCTTTTGGTAGATTCTATAACAATTTTTCAGCTATTTCTCCAAGTATTTCCTTTCCTCTGGTTACATGGCTGTTTTTAATATTATCCTTTTTTGTAAGAATATTAGTTTATTTTCCTAAAAGGTTATTTTTTCATCCTTCTTTTATTGTCAACATCAATCAAAATAAGACTTCCTATCAAGATAAATTCTAATTTATTTTTCTGTTCCTGCAATCACTCTTGCCTTCATTAACCTATGCAAAGAAATATTTTTCCAGACATCCTAATGTGAGTCAGTATGATATACTAGCTGATATTTGGGTAGAGGTTCCCTGAAGTCTGTTTCAGTTCCTGCTTATCTATGAAACTTGCTGTGCTACAGTCAAAGTAAAAGCAGGAGTGATTGCAGTAGTGTTGTGTATAAAGGTCTAATTTCCTTGGAGCCAGGAGAAACTTTGTGTTACTGCAGTATAATAGGAAGTGCTAATGCAGTTTCTTAATAGCCATAGGAGCAGAGGATTCAGTACATTAAATTTAACAGATGAATATCAGATCACTTTCATTTATTATAGCTAAAATAGCTGCTATATTCTTATAAAGTTTCTCTTTATATTATTATTATTATTATTATTATTATTATTATTATTATTATTATTAATTTAATTTGTATACCACCCTTCTCCCAGAAGGGACTCAGGGCAGTGAACAGCCAAAATTAAAAAACATACAAATGTAAAAGTTAAGATAATTAAAAAGAATTAAATCACTGGCTACCCAATTTAAAACCCCAAATCCATAAAATTTATAATCCCAATTAAAAACCATTTAGGCTAGGCAGGCTTGATGAAATAAAAATGTCTTCAGGGCTTTACGGAAGGTCCGGAGGTCCGGGATCAATTGTATTCCAGGAGGCAGCTCATTCCACAGGGCGGGTGCCCCCACAGAGAAGGCTTGCCCCCTGGGGGCCGCCAGCCGACATTGCCTGACCGACGGCACCCCGAGGAGGCCCTCTCTGTGAGAGCGTATTGGCCGGTGGGAGGTTATCAGTAGCAGCAGGCGGTCTCGCAAATACCCTGGCCCTAAGCCATGGAGCGCTTTAAAGATGAGAACCAACACCTTAAAGCGCACCCGGAAGACCACCGGGAGCCAATGCAGCTCGCGCAGGAGAGGTGTTACGTAGGAGCGCCACGTCGCTCCCATAATCACCCGCGCGGCCACATTCTGCACCAGCTGGAGCCTCCGGGTGCTTCTCAGGGGAAACCCCATGTAGAGAGCGTTGCAGTAGTCCAGGCATGACGTAACCAAGGCATGAGTGACTATGCACAAGGAGTCCCGATCCAGAAAGGGGCGCAACTGGCGTATCAGGCGAACCTGATAAAAAGCCCCCCTGGCCATAATATGAATATTATAGCTGCTTTAAATAACAAGGACAAGATAAATTGTACTAATATCTTTCAATTTTGGAAATAATGTTCCTGCAGTAAGATTTCCTAAATCAATATTCAATGAAACAATAAAATCAACATTCTGAAACCTATAATTCCATTAATGAGAGATGTAGAAGCCTACAAGCCTACTCAGACTTCTTCACTTTATAATTTCTATAGCAATACTTTCTTACAAGGCCATGTGAGTAAATTTGGAACTGATACAATCCAATTGCTTCTCTGTATAGAGCTTTCCAACTAATTTGATTGGCCAGATAATTAAAAAAAATTTCTTACAACACTATATATGTATACTTTCACTTATGTAGCATGTGTAGAGGATGAGACAATAAAGAACTTCACCTATCTTTAAAGATTTAGGTCAGCTTCACTCTGCAAGAGAGACCAGGTAGATGCCTCTGGACAATATGTGATAGCCATTTACTGCTGTGTTTTGCTTAGCATCTGATACTGAGAAAATCACTGCTTGCAAAGTATCATTTAAATCATTATTAATATCTGTTACGTTAGGCTTCCTGCCTTAATCATCTTAATCCTAAAAATATATCTGTCAATCCTATTTCCTTTGGTAATGTGTTCCATCATAGAAGAAAATTAACCTAAATGTAAGATGTTTATGCCAGCGTGACATTTCTGAAATGCTAGCAGGGTTAAAGCAAAACAAGTATACAGTCTCACAGCATTTTAAGTAAATAATGAGGTTTAAGGCAAATTGCTTTGGATAGCCATGTTAGACCTATTTTGGCATTTTGTTTCCTTCTTTTATACTTTCCGTTTATTCAATGGCACTTTGTTTGTACCACACTCCAGACCTAGTCCAAAAGGAAAACCAAAGTCCTTTTTGTGGATTAGAGCAGATTAGATTATTCAAATTTATTTTCATTTTTGTTGGGGTTTTTTTTTATAGTCTTAATGAGGGCGTGCCTGGTATCCTAATTTTGTGAAATGCAGTGGTTGTACGTTTGCCAAGAAACAGAGTCCATTCCCTTGTATTTATTTATTTTTTTACATCCCATCATTATTATCTTTATAAATAATTTAGGTTGGTATACATACTTTGTACACCTCCCTACTCCTATTTTTTCCACCACAACTACCCTGTGAGAAGTGTGTGTGTGTGTGTGTGTGAGAGAGAGAGAGAGAGAGAGAGAGAGGGAGGGAGGGAGAGAGAGGGGGGAGAAGGAGAGAAAGAGACCGAGACCAAAGTCACCCAGCCAGTTTTTATGCCTAAAGCAGGATTAGAACTCATGGTCCTCTGGTATCTAACCTGGTGCCTTAACCACTAGACCAAACTGGCTCTATAACTACAGGGTGTCTCCAAAATCTTCTCTGAAAGGAAGCAGAATATAGCCTTGACTCTCCCATCCCACAATTTCCAATTGTGCCAAAGTTTCTATGGGTAATTTGTCTTTCTCAACTTTAGCAGTATTAAGATTTGTGGACATTAGTTCTAGGAGTTGAAATCCACACACTTTAAAAGCCACAAAGACTTGAGAAGCACTAATTTTAGATTAAAGTTTCATATTGTATTGGCCTCTCAGCTGGGTGTTTCTTTTCTACAGCTCCCTCAGAAATCCTTCAAAAACTTTTCCAACTTGGAGGCATACATACAGGTTGGTCTTGATTTATGACGGCAATTGAGACTGGAATTTCCATCACCAAGCAATGCTGTCCTAAAATGCGACTACATCGCTTAGTGACCGCAATCCCTGCAGTCTCGGTTGCTGATTTTAACTGATTCCCACAGTTTAGGCAAGGCAACTTCTTGCTAGCTTCCTACACCCAAAATTAGTGGGGGACTCTGCAAGTTCCAAACCAGCAGGCTGGTAAGTGGTTTCTGCTGGGTGGGGGAGGGAGCGAGGGGATGTGCAAGAGGCTGCTCAAGGAAAATGGGTAAGGTGCATGAGAAGTTCCATGAGTCAGGCAGGGTACATGAGAAGCACCACATGGATCAGGGAGTGTGCAAGGGCTGCTGTGTAGGTGAGGGAAGGTCAGGGATGGTGTCTGAGAGGAGCAGCACAGGTCGGGAGGCTCTTTCTGAGGAAGCTGGCAAGAAAGATTTCAAATGGTGATCAGTTGATGCTTGGCAATCAGTCCTAAATGTGAACAGGTTGCCCAGAGCCCATATGATCATGGGGGTTCTGGGATGGCAAAACTCTTGAAGACTGATTATAGCCACCATTTGTTCAATGCTTAACTTCAAATGGTTGCTGAAGAAATGTAGACCAAGGACAATTGTACATTCAAAAAAATAGGACAATGCTTTAACAAACCACTGTTCTTTAGACCAACTGTAAGCTTTTCTAAAAAGAAATATGCCTGGTAAATAGAATCTTTAGAACATAATCTATAATCATTTGTTCTAAACCACATTTTAATATGTGGGATCTTAAGCTACTTAATTATGAATAATTTGTATGACTATTAAGCATATTGGGATATAAAATATAAAACATTTTTCTTTTTAGCACTTTCCAGCCTGATGAATAATGCTATATACTTGCAAAGTCTGTTTTGTTTGTAAAGAGTAATTTTAATATCTATAAAAGCTAAGCTCAGCTGAAAATGCCAAGAATATTTCTTGCTGAGAGCCAAATAAATTGCCAGTACACAATAATTAGTAATATTATAGCTGCGCTAACTGTAAATTCTGTATTTCTATAGACATTTGAAAGGTACTCTTGTGTGATGATGGTGATACTTTCAATAGTTCATCCAAAATAACATAATTACGTCTGAAAGACCTAATGGAGCTTCTGAAACTGACTGCAGTCACTTCTTTCCACAGGATTCAGTGGTTTCTGAGAGGGATTATGAAAGCCTTGTGATGATGCGCATGCGGCAAGCTTCTGAAAGGCAGAAGCTAATTGAAAAGATGAAACAGGAAGATGAAGAAGAGTCTTGTACATAGTAGAAGGGGAAATGGCATTATCGTGCATTTTTGCTTATAATTCTTAAATCAATAAAAACTATTGAAGGAAAAACTTCAAAACTACTGTAGATTTCTTGGAAGAATAACTGATCACCTCGATTAAGGGGATATATAAAGTGAAAATCTATTTCAAGTTTTTCAGTGTTAAATTACCCTGACATCTGGAATTTATACAGCAGTGGCAAATCTGCCTTTTCAAAAACCATATCCTTCCTTGTTCATCACCATGTTTCCCGACTCATTGAACCAATGAGCTCTACAACACATTTCCTATGATAGAAAGTGTTTTCTACTCATCGGAACTCATAGCAAATCTGACTTTAAAGGAACATCGTGCTCTTTAACGTATTCTTTATAAATCCACATATTTGTTAGATGTAACATTCCCTTTTGTTTAAAAGAGTTCTATAGTTACCTTATTTTTTATCTTTGTAATAAATCTGTGAAATTCATTTGGTTGAAAGCTGGTTATAAACTCAATTTCATGGCTAAATTGTGATCTCACCCATTTTCTCAATTCTTATCTAGGACTCTAAATATTACTGGTGGTCTTTCATAGCCACCTACATCACAAGGAAACTGAACCACCTATCAGTATTGACAGCGCAATCTAAACCAAAATAAATTTGTTACAAAGAGGGTTAATTATTTGGCACTTCTAGTTCAGCAATAAAACAATGTGAAACTAACACAGCTCCTTGAATGAGGGAGAGATGCTGCACTAGATCAGTGTATTAGTCCCATTACCTGCTAATATACAAGTTGTATATATTAGTGTACCCTTTGGGATACTCAGCATTTCAGGCTTTTGCTCAAGATTGTCAATTGGTCTCAGCCCCTTTGGAGCTGCCAGATGTGTTGAGGGGCTTTTGACACTCGACAATTGGTATGTTACAGGCTTTGGGGGCATTTTAAAACTGCCTGGTAACGAACAGTTTGAGATACATTAGATTGATTTTACTATTTTTATTATTATTTTATGAGTCACTTAGGAATGGTTTTCAGCAGACATAGTGTAAATAATCCCAACAATGAAAAGGCAAACACGTACAATTAAAAACTATATGGAACTATTTAAAGAATCTTTTCTTCTATTTTAACATATACCATGTAGAGATAATAGAAAAACCACATATCACAATCTCAAGATTCTAATCACACTCTTAGATGGGGACACTAATATACTTTAATAAGCACATCATGTAATTTATAGAGGTAAATTTGTATGGTAATATCTCTATCAATATTAAAAGCCATTTTGTGCATGAGCATTCTTCTCTGCTATGTCACACCTGATCTAACTTGAGACTGTTACTGATACAGTGGATTTGATGCCAAGTTGTCGTTCAATAAAGTGGAGATAACAGTTAATACTGCCAGTTTCAGATTGGCCCCTGAAATAATGCTTAATAAGGATTCATCTCTTCAGGAAAGTTCCAGCCCCAGAGCTGTGAAGCTTCTTAGAATGATGCTTCTTATGATGATGTAGCGGTGCTTATGATTTTAAAGCCAGGTTTTGATAAAGTCTCACTTTAAAATGCCTGAAGATGAGCAATGGAATCTCAAGCTTATGCTGGGTGGTTTACAGCAATGTTTTGGGAAGGAAGAAAAGCACAATTCTCTGTCATTTCTTTGTGAAGACACCACACCAGTGTCTGCCCCACTCCTGTCATGCTGATGACTCGATAACCACACTTCTCCAGCTTGTCCAAGACAATCCGTGGAGCATCATTCACATAATATTCCCAGCTGTTGTAAACGAGACATAAAAAATGGAAAGTTTTTTTAAAAAAAATAATTTCAAATAATTTGTATCTATATTGATGAGAATGTAAATTGAACGCTGCAGTTCTAAGAACAAAGTTGTAAAACTAGAAAGTAAAGGAGGCTAAACAGAAATTTAATATGTTGATCAAAGTTTAAGGTTAACCTTCTGGGTCTTTGATGCCCTACATTTTTGAAAGCTTGGGTGAATACAAGATCACACAAGTTTTGGAAAGTAGCAATGCAGCCTAGAGACAGCTTTATTTAATTTAATTTAATTTAATTAATTCTATTTATATGCACAAACCCTTATGAAGATTTCTGGTGAATTAAAAGCTTGCCCATTTTTATATACTTTGTCCCAATAAACAAATTAGTCAACAACAGATTATTTATAATATTATTTATAACAGTTTAAATGTTATGGCATTGTTACAAATACAGCTCTATCCTAATTTGCTTTGATATTTTACAGGGCTTTATTGGATTTGTACTTCTACTTTCATCTGTGAACTGACCCTTCTGGCTAATATTTTTAAAATGCAGACTTTGTAGCCACAATGTTAGGTCTCCCTGAGATTCAGTTCATTTCCCCTCTTCTGATTATTTATGTGAAAAAGGAGGCGGTCCTTTTTCACTGAAAAGCAAGAAGGGAAAGGAGAACAAGTAGCAGAGGCATATGAATGGCAAGGGCAGGAATGACAAAAAGCATTGTGTCGTTGGGACACATACCATGCACTTTTTGCATGGGCATCATGATGTTGCACCCAAATATGAAAAGATAAAGCTTATGGCATGACACTATTTTTAACATTGTTGAGAAATGCATTCAAACATGCATCTTACCACCAAGAAATTGAATAGTATTTAAAGACACATGAGCCAAAGACCTTTGCAAAAACTGCAGAGGAAAAGATATTTGATGATAATATTTGGAAGAAGCACTCAGGAGGAACTCCTTATATAAGCCAAGGGAAAAAAAGCATAGATTTATTTAAATCATGCTTATGCTAATTTTCCTATATGCATAATTATATAATTTGTTGCCCAAGAGGTGAGGAGGGTCGCCACATTCCTGGCCTTTCAAAAATGCCTAAAGCTCTGCCATTTTGCTTGGGGCTCATTGAGCAGCAGGCAGCTGTGAGGCTGGTTAGCACTTTGAAGGGCCTCCCTCTCTCCGCCTTTTAATTCTGAATTCCAACAATCTTTGCCTCTTCTATAATTTTTATATACAGTTTTTATGTTTTAATATTTTATTTTCCCACAGCCCAGAGTCCCCCTGTGTGGGAGGTAGGCAGGTTCTAAATTTGATAAATAAATAAAAAAACTTAACATTAAAATAGAACATATTTTGTCCCAGTAGCTGAAAAACAAACCCCATGGGCCTATTTAAACTACTATCCAGGGGTATATTCATGGCCCTTTGCCCTTTCACTGGCCTGCACAACCTTTCAAAGAGCAGATACCCTCAAAGAGATATTCATCTGACAATCTTCCAAATAGAAGAGTCACCTTCAAAGTAAGACCTAACATTATTTACACATCAACTTTACACTTGAGCTTTTAAGCTTGCTTGCATGTAAAAGCTCTGAAATCACTAACAATGGAAAGTCAAAGGATGCAAACATCAACATGATGAAAAGCTTAGAATGATTTATAAAATACATGCTTTTGAACTACATAAATAAATATGCTTGTGATTTGATTTCTTCATATTTTATTTCTAATCCCTGTGGAGTAAAGTTAATAGGAAAAGAAAGCACTCCTTATTTCTCACCTTCGATCCTAAAACATTGCTTTCAACTGTTTTTACATTTCTTTTCTAGATCTTCAGAAATAAATAGTGCCCTGAAAACAAATCCGATTTACATACTACAGTAAGCTGTTTCATTCATAGTTCATTCAATATAGAACAACTGGCTGAGTTGAACTATTATATTAGTTAATATTTTATAAATCACAATACCTGGGTTAAACATGATGTCTTAAGCCGAAACAACTATATTGTAACTTAAGAAGATGTATATTTATTTTCATATTTATTTATTATGTCTCAAAGGATAACATTTTGCACTTCAACCTCTAAAAGTTGCATAAATATAGAGAAAACAGATGGCATAAAAGTGGCAGGAGGCCAACGTATTAGGTTAGAAGACAGGCTCAATCTGGGGTAATGATAGGGGTTGAAGCAGAAAAGAACTGAGGGGAACTGGCTTGGTCACTGCACCTGGATGAAATTTTCACTGACATATCATTAGAGTAAATAGGATGTTACCGTAGTATTTCTGTCTTTTGGGCTTTAATTTAAATGATGAATGAAAAGCTCAAGAAATGTCTTAAATGCATCAGAATTATCCATCCATCCTGAAGAATGCACACAATTTTCCAGAGCAAAGGAATATATAGTTTGTTAATAAAAGGTTTCCACCCAACTGGGTGATCAGATTTGGGAAAGCTCTCTTGTGTTGTCAAAATTACAGATTAACAAACAATGATGTAAGCAAGAAGCAAAAAGAGGAATACTTACAAATGATTTCCCAACATGTTTCTTTTAATGGCCCCTAGATAGTTCATCAAGTTTGGATCTGAATGTTCATCACCAACCATTGTAGGTCCAACTTCCTGCAGAGAGAAATGACCACTTCTGTATTGAAAACAATATTAGCATCATCCCATTATTTCATTATACCTCTTACCTATTTATAAAATTTGAACACCAGATAATGATACTTGGCAGAAACCACAGTTCAAGATGGTTTATAAAAATCTCTAATACTATACTTTTGTCCTTAGGTTGAGACGGGCATATTAACCCTCAGCTTTGCACACTTGCCCATATTAGTATATCCACATTTACTTTTTTTAGAGTTATTTTAATTTCTGAACCACAAGACTTCACTTTGAGGACACAAGGAATGGTTTTTCCTTTACATAAAATCTAAGTAAAATCATTGGCAAAATGTTAGCAATAAAACGCTAGTCATTTTTCCCTACGTAGAGCTATGTGTCATATAATATATGTGGGTATATACATATTTATTTATTTATTTATATTTTTGTCATGTTTATATAGTGTCTTTTGGAGATGGTGACCCTTTGAGAGTTGTATGCAACAAAATTTCATTTTAATATATGCCAATTAGCGTACATTTTAAGTGACAATAAAATTATTCCAAGTCTAGCTATTTGACTACACAGGTACATATAAATTACACATTGTTATAGCTCCCCCTACAGGCTGAACATGAGACAGCATGGAATGTTTTCAATCAATCTTTTTGAACTAATTTGGGGGGTTTTTTCCTGGCTTTTGTTCTTTTTAAACATATATTTCAAACCAATATTCAGGGTTGGCTGACACAGATAGCAGGGGAAGGACTTCTTGCAATTGGGAACATCATCTTCTTTAAAAAAAGATGTATTTAGTAGCTGAGAGTTGTAGTGGATGTAAATGTAATCGCTCAATGTTCAGCCTATTGCCAGAAAAGGGAGAAAGTGTTAGATGGAGAGGAACAAGAAATGTAATGCATCTATTTGACTTTCTCCCTTCATTGGTTGCTAGTTTGCTGAAAATCCACAGAAAATCAGTTTTTGTACATATTTTTAAAAGGCAATGCTGGATCCCTGAACGTTTATGCCTGTGGATACTGCTTGGGGAATTTGGGGGACTGAAGTCCACATATCTTACAAGTTTGAAAAAAAATTACCTATATCATCCGTCCACTGGAGAAAAAGGACTTTGCTTGTTTAGTTTAGGAATTTTCTCCTAAGAATGGGATGATGAATCTGCACAGCCTCTATATCCCTCTCTCTAACATGTAAGTAGCCAGAAGATGTAACTCACCATCAATTTTCTGCATACCTGTAAGGTTAAAATTTCTGGACACGTAGATTTTTCCATATAGATCAGATAATCTATATAAGAATGGCCAGTCACATCTGAAATGTACGAAATCCGTAGTGGATTTTACTTAATCCACTATGATCAGAGGTTCTTGTTTTCCAGAAAAAATGGATAGGTTCACACAATGGCAAATCTAACAAATGTATTGCCACATAATTGTGTCATAATCCAGTCAGATCAATGATTTCATGAAATGGCTGTGAGCCACAAAAGCGTATCCAATGACACATAAGCACTGTGTAAAATGTACAGTGACTTTTGGTCCTTTTTCCTTCAAGAAAGAGATGAATCAACCCAGAAATTGCAACTCTGATACTTTCTAGAGCAATCTTCCCCAAACTCATGGCCACTAGAGGTATCACTTCCAAAAATTCCAGCCAATTCCATTTCTGGAAGATGTGTAGTCTCTACACATCTAGAAGGCATCATGTTGGAAAAGGCACTGCTCTTGAAGCAGTTACAGGTGGATCCTCCCAACATAGAAGGAGCATCATCAGGAATCTATTGCTATGAATGGCATTCATGCAAGCAAATGGCAAATGAGAAAAGAAAACAATATCCAGCTGTAGAATTGCATGCAAATTACACAAAAGTGACTTCAGATATTTAATCATCCCCCAAGACTCTAGTCTAGTACTTAAGCCAGGCATGAAGGGGGTTAGACCAAAATGTATTAAAACATATCTGCAAACATATGACCAAGGAAAGAAGCGGGTGTCCATATATTTCAGCCAGGCGAATATTTCCAGAAATCAATTAATTCTTTTATTCTTTTTTTTTACCCAAATAAAGATATCAGCTCCCACCGAGTGTGGATATCTTTTTCCACACATACACACTGGGTTTCTTGATGGGGGAGGGGGGAGCCAATCAGTAAAAGTTCAACATTCCCAAAATAACTGCATGCTTGATCTCTCGCGCTCTTTTTTCTCCCCTCACTTTGCAACCCCAGTCCCGAATCGCTCACCATGCGGATCTGAGTGCTGATGAGGACGTACGGCATGATCCCTTCAGCGCCCACCAGGGTGTTCAAGGTGGCCGCCCCAACTCCAGCGCCTTCTGTTTTCTCCCAGTCCAGTCCCACACGTGACATCCTGCCTAACCAGGTTAACGCCCTCCTCCGGCACAGCCAATCGAAGAGCGAGCTACCTAAGGGCGGGGCCGGCATGGAAGCGTTGGCCGTAAGCTAAATTTTTCGGCTGTGCATAGCGGGATCGGCTTTAATGTGTGGGAATGCTGGACTGTGGCCAGAAAAGACTGAGCCAACATGTACAGTAATCAACCTTTTCTTTATAATATTGGGTTTTCCACTGTTTGTAGAGCTGATTTACCAGAATAAGGAACATTTCGACAGGCGGTCAGCAAAGAAATATTTAATTTATTATCTGCATTTCTGCCTGTTATTCATCTTTCTGTGAGCATCCACAGAATGTTTGTAAAGGGATGAGTGGGTGTTACTTGAATGTATATTCTTTTATACCACCTTTTTATCATCCCCTACCTATCAAATTTGTTTATACCATCATCATGCACTTCAGCACCTAACAGATTATGTTCCTGAATGCTTACTGCACCTATTTCCAAGTGATTGTAATTAGAAGTATTTATGCATCTCATTTTATAATCCTAATTAGGATATGAGTAATACCTGATTCTGAGAAATGTATATGATGGCTACCAAATTTGGAGGTTGGAGGAAAATTCAGTGGAATAAAAGCAGATAAAGGCTTCTTTAGGATAGCAATAGCACTTAGACTTCTATACCGCTTCATACTGCTTTACAGCCCTCTGACAGAGTCAGTGTATTTCTCCCAATAATCTGGGTCCTCATTTTACCGACCTCGGAAGGATGGAAGGCTGAGTCAACCTTGATCTTACATTTTAGCTAAATTAATGAAAGTGGCATCGTGCCATTTCATGCAATATTCTGGTCCATGCAGCATCATGATTCATGGACCAGAGTGGAACTTGTAGCTTTGCCTTCATCATTTGTTTCAATTTCTCTCATAACTTTACAGACACTTCTGTGCCCCTACCCAGGTAGTAGCACTTAGTTGGTGTTGGCTGACCTCTAAAAACTAAGAAGGAGCATATCTAGTTATATTTGGATAGGAGATCAGCACAAATAACAAGCTCTGTAGGTTAAACTGAAGTAGAAAAAACATCCCAGGAGAAAGTTATAAATGTCTTCTGTATTATCGCAAAGAAAATTACAAAAATGTGGCCATGATAAGAACTGAAGTCAAATGAGCCTTAGAGATAATGTAGTGGACCAGGGTGGGTTCTACTTACCTTTACTACGGGTTTGCAGCGGAGCCCCGCGCGCTCGCTTCGCTCGCGCACAAGCACAGAAGCATTTTTATGACATTGGGGTCGGTGGGCGGAGCCTCCCGCCAGTTTTACTACCAGTTCTATAGAACCGGTGCAAACTGGGGGTAACCCACCACTGTAGTGGACATAAAATGCAGGGAACCAAGTCTCCTAAAAGAAAGGGTTAGAAGCTAGCAGACTGTGAGTTCTAGTCCTCTCTTAGACATGAAAGCCAGCAGGGTGACTTTGAGCCAGTTACGATCTCAGTGACGGAGTTGTTGTGGAGAAAGTAAGACATGGGAGTATGACGTATGTATGCTGCCTTGAGATGACAAAAAATAAAAGCAAAATATATCAAATAAAAAAGAAATCTATAATGCTGGAAAAGGTGGAAAGAAATAGAAGAGGATAATGAACAGCAAATTGGATGTGCTTGATTACAAAAGCAATGAATGCACAACTGAGAGACCTAAAAGGCCAGGAGAAGGATAGATCATCCTGTTAACACCTTGACAGCACTTAATCAAAGATCAATCAATGTTTTTTTTCCAGATGGAGGTGAATTGCAACATTAAATACTCTGAGCCTTCTATTGATTAAGAGCCAATTTGATGTAATGGTTAAGGCATTAGGCTATAAACGCAGAGTCTGAGTTCTAGTCACCATCTGGGTGACTTTCTCTCAGTCCTAAGAAAAAGGCAATAGCAAATCACTTCCAAAATCTTGCCAACAAAACTGCAAGAACTAGTTCAGGTAGTTGCCAGGGGTCCTCAAAATCACACACCCTTCCCATTGATGAATGAAGGCTGTCAGTGGGTGCTTAGTGTCATCTTTTGATTTGGTTTCTTCCTGACATTGTCATCATTTTTTGTTGCAGAAGGGAACTTTTATTGTTTACATCACACTAAATTGAGGAAATAATTTTGGAGACATACTTAGCTGACTCTGTCTTCTTGTTCATGGCACCCTGGCTTTGTGATGGGATATAAGAAGGGACAACAATGGATAGGATTAACGGCTTCCTATCATGAAAAGTCTCAACATGGCTGTTCTTATTTTTATTTCATTTTTTTTACAGTGGGTAAAACAGCACAGATAGTTAGCTCAAGAAAGAGGAGTAAATTATCTGATGCTTTTAAGAAAAACACTGGCCTAAGACACCATCCTGATATTCGTGCAGAAGTCTACAGAAGTTTGCAAAGAAACTTATGGTGATTGTTTGCTATGAGGTCAGAATGATTTATCCTACCAGAAAGGAAAATTAAAATACCAATAAAGCTCTCATTTATTTGGAAAAAAATGCTACAAAAAGCAGAGAATCTCAGAACAAGTTATTTTTTTCATATTTTGTTTTATTTGCATTATAAATACCTTTAAATTAAAATTCAATATGTAAATAATCAAACTTAAGTTTGTTTCGTTTTCAGAGGCTTCCCATCCTGTGAGGCCCTAAGCTTTAGCTTGCTTACTTACCTTTTTCTAAATCTAGCGCTGCAGGCAAGTAAGCAAATGCTAAGTCTAGTATTATTAGAAAGTCTGGTAGCTAAGTCTTTGGACAAAGAAGGGTGTGGTTTCCAAATCTAACAATGCTTAAAGCAGATTTAATGTTGTTTATAGTTCCTTTCAAGTTGCTTTCCGAGAACTTTTTAATACCTGTTTTCAAGCATGGTTATTTGTATGCAAGAGTATAGGAAACATTTTCAACTGGCTGTCCAGGATTTGTTGACTGATAAAGTAGTAAATATGTTCTTTCCTGTAACATCCTGTAAGCTTTAAATACTGGCATTCTGCTGTACCTTGGAAATAATTTGGAAAAGGTTCTTCAGATTACACAGAAATGCAAATATAGTACCTGTATATGTGTCTTTAAAGCAGCTGCATCTTTTCTTAGGAATGCACTGTTGGTCTTTGTAGCTGTCATATGAAAACAGCTTCTGTTTGGCAACATGAGACATTGGAGTTCTGATAAATTTGGAGACAAATAGCTAACCAATCTATCCATGCATATATAATCCCAGCCAATCAATAAACTTCATTTCTCCAAAAGTTCTGCATGAATAAAGTTACAAAGTTAGGATGGAAAATAAGCATTTGCAACCCAAAAACTAAAGTTCAAAAACTCCAATAATCCAAGATGGCGATCCTGAGATACACATTATTGTGACTAATTAAAATATTGCAATGTCCTCTTTGACCAGTTCAATGGTTATGGAACATCATGTTACTTAATAAGCATACAAACCAATTAAGTACTTACATATAAACCAAACAGTGAAAACTTGACCATTAGCACTTCTCTAAGTGGCCTTCTTGGTCTTTACAAACTGCCCATTGGAGAGGAAGGAGCATACATATGTGCAGGCTAGGAACTTGCAATTACAAAAAGCTAAATGGAGGCAAGGGAAACTGTGCACACACCTTGCCTGACAAGTCACTTGCAAAGAAAAAGTGCAAACTAGGTAACATCATCAATAATAATAATAGCAAACTAGTGCTATTGAATGTGGAGTTTGGTTCCTTTTTTATTTACAGTAGTTGGTGAGAATGTGGTTTGCTCCTTAGTAGTTCCTTGATTGGAATATTTTTTTTCTGCTTGATTATTTGCTTGATATTAATCCCTCTTTATTCTGGGCATTGGCTGCTGAAGGGGATGTGTTCTGGTCTTTTTTAATTAACAAATGCTAGTGTTACTTCGTTAGGTAGTAAAACATTTGCAAGCAAAGAATCAAGCTCAGAGAGCACCAAGGACATCACAATTCAACCCTGAGCTACATACATTCTCTTCCATTGAAAGGATTTACAAGCAGTTATTTGATACTTGCATTACGGCAACTGCAAATAAAACATTACATCTGAAGAATTGCTGTTAATATATGCCTATGGAGATTCTCAGTCATCCAGGTCATGGTAGCTGAAGAAGCTTCTTGGATGAGAAGCGAAAACGTCTTCAACGAAAAACCAGAAAGCCCAGTTGCCTCTTGAAAAAAGCACTTTTGGGACTGCTGTTACTATATGTAGCATCACAACAGGTAACAGATCTAGGAGGCAAAGATTTGCTGCCTTGCAAGCTGGAACCAAGTGCCCCACCCCAACCAGTTCTGTCACACTAATGCTCAGAGATGTATGAGTTCTCAATTATAAAGACATTGTGACAAGAATAATTTAAGCTCTTAACTAATCTTAATTAATTGTATCCCATGTAATTGCTGAGGATTTTTTTTTGCTTTGGCAACATTTGCATATGAAACAAAAAGATGAAACATGCTCTAGGACTAGGTACAGCTTTGAAAATGGCATAGTGAGATGCTTGCTGAAAACTAGAGATAGGTAAACAGCTCTACCATGCCCAACTGCAGTACCATTCTTAGGGCCAAATTAAGCCGGACAGAGAAACTATCTTGTTTATTTTATAGAAATGCAGAAAGGCATTTGTGGATCTGACTGAAGCAACAACAGGGAGTGGATTGTTTAAAACTTGTGCACAGTCCATACTTTTAAGGTACATCACACATTATGCAATATATATGTCACCCAGAGATGTTGGAAAAAATACAAGTTCAAAAAAATGTTATTCTAAGGTTAAGTAAACAAGGTTATTCTAAGTATACATGTTTTGTCTCACTTTGTGAGAATTCTTTGAGGTCATAATGCCAGCCTCTCAAATTTTAGATCCAGAATAGTTTAAAACTAACTTTATGCATACCTATCTGCAAAACACACTTGATTTACTAGAAATCCTGCATTCTAATGGCAAGAATTTTATAAGAAATCCACAAGGATCATGAAAACAGGGATATGGTTTAATTTTATGTATGTTTTGATATTACTTTCACAAACGCAGATGTGCTAGCAAGTCTATCCAAATTCTAGCAGTAAAACCCAAGCTATGATTTATTGGTCTAGATACGATCTTTAATATCCTTTAAGACCTAACTGTAAACTCCCACAGCCTTGATCCTCTATTATTCCTGCACCGATAACAAAACGACAACAAATAACAATCTGAAGCCTTGGCCTCAGAATCATTTCCTTTTCCCATTCAGCTCTACAGGTCTATCTAATGAAATCTATTCTACTTGCTTTCACCAAATGATCCTGCATCACCAGCAAGACCTGACAGACCAAAACAAGATTTCTAATAGCACTAAATGGAATGCTCAATCTTAAACTGTGGCTTTGAGCATGAAACAAAGCCATTTTTAAAGCAACTATTATTTGGTAATGAGAAAATCTTTCAAAAATAAAAATATGTAGCACAAGTAGAAGAGTCAAAAAATTTTACCTCATGACATGTATTTTATTTGCCTCAGTCACATCTAAATCAGTGCTTCACAAACCTGGATAAATTATCCAAAATAGGATGAAAGTGGGGATTTTTGGGTGGGGGCAGTAATGACACACAAAATCCTTCTCTACAATTCTTACAATGACTTAAAATGTTTTATCTACATTGGTAAAAAGTGGTTTTCGTGTAATGATGAAAAAGGTTTGGAAAGCACTGTGCTAAATACTACATTGAACATTATAAAGGAAACTTCTTACTCAGATATACATAATGCTTCTTCCTCCTCCTATTTTCCTCACAACAACCCTGTGAGGTGGGTTGCTACATTTATTATTACTTGTGCCTTCTGTCTTCCAACCCTCACCCTATCAATTGATGGAGAGGGCACACACTCACACTGATACATCATCATCTTCTTCTTGTGCCATGTCCATCATCGGACATTGGCGATCATGTTGGCAATCCTATTTTTGTCAACAGCCATATGAAAAAGTGCTGCTGAGTTTTGTCCAAACCAGTCCCTTAGGTTTTGAAGCCATGATGTTCTTCTTCTGCCTGGAATACTGATACATATTGATTGCAAATAAATGTTTATTTATTTATTCATTCAAAACAAAGCTAAAATGTGTTTTATACACAGGCAGTAATTCTATTTTTTCCACCTTTCTTTTGGCCATAGAATTGTAAAGCAAGTTGTGCATGATACCACTGTCCAATTTTATTGTTTATGTTAAGAAGTGTACGGTAATTGTTTCAGAGATCCTGATTGGGTATACACCAACCTGCATATTTGTTCAAATATTTGGTGAAAGCCAACAAAAGTTTACTTAGATTTTTATTGCAATATATGTTCACCACCTTGAGTTACTTATAATGTAATAAATATGGAATAAAAATCTAATAAATAAACATCAGGAAGAAAAAGATGGGAAGATCTTTGAGAAGATGGGAAAAGTACCATAGCCTGAAGGAGGAACTAGAAAGGATGTGGAAAATAAAGGTCAGTGGCAGCAGGAGCACTTGGGGCTGTGACTCCCAAGTTGGGAAAGTAATGCTAGAAGCAGCTAAGATACTATGTAGAATCCTTAAAACACCCAGGCCTCTGGTACCCAGAGTTAAAGAAGAAACATACAACTCACAGAGGGGAGAATATATATAATGAAACCATTGCAGTGAGGCAGATCACCTTGCATAAATTATTAAAGGTAGGTTTCCCAATTTGGAGATACCTTATTATTTAATTAAACTTGAAGTGGACATCTGATGTGATCAAGTGGTCTTATGTAAAAACTCTTCCTCCTTCAAATATAGGAATCTGTTAGCACCTTTTCTGACTTAACAGTATGGAAAGACCTATGTTTTCATTAGCTGCAGACCAGCTGCTCAAATTCAACACAGGCCTTCATAAATCTGCGGGTATTAAGTTAGCCCTAAATACAGGTACAGTAATGCAAAAGTGTAAGTGTATAAATAAAAGCTACAAAGTGAAGGCAAAGGCTGCGGGTATAGATTTAGCACATTCACTTCTCCCGCCCTTCCCACTTTCTCCTTTCTTCCTCATTGGCTCCTTAGGCACGTGCTTTGAAACAAACGGATTTACGAAATAGAGGCGTGGCCTTGCGTCAATTCTACGCGCCATTAATTTTTCTTTTTTTTTTTATACCCAGACGAAAAAACTGGCTTGTCAAGAGCCGGGCAAAGTTGAAAGGCGAAGCGCAACAGCGGGGCAGGGCAATGATCTCATTGTAACGCGACTATGGGGAAGGGAGCAGTGCGGCTTCAGAGCAGGAAGGTGAAGGGGGGAAAAACGCGGTGGACGGTGGCCGCTTGAGAACCTACCACGCAGGAAGCGAAGCGGTGCTGGGAATACTTAAATTACGCGGTGAGAGTCCCGCTTGTTTTGTTTGGTAGCTCCCCTTCGCTTGGCTTGACTCTGCTGGCTTTATTTCTCCACGAGGCCCTTTTTATGCGGCTCTGCTTCCGGACGTAAATCTTACTGAGGTTCATGGGGATTGCACTGCGATAAACCGTTTCTGCGTTTGTTGGGCAGAAAGGCATGGGTTCTGGGGGGCGAATAACGCGATCCGTCTCGAAGGCGACATGGGACACCTTGTCTATGGAGATCCTCAGTCATCCAGGTCACGGTTGTCCCAAAGGTGCTTTTTCAAGAGGCAACTTTCAAAGAAAAAACAGAAAGTCCAGTTGCCTCTTGAAAAAAAAAAAAGCACCTTTGGTATGAGACACCTTGTTTCTCAGCGTGTGAACAGGCTGACACGGCTCCTCCCTCTTCCTTGGAAATGCAGAACCAAAGGCTTTGGAAAGGCGCTGGGTGCCAGCGATTCCCCCGACACGTGCGCTCCGCTTTGCTCGAAAGCGAGTGCCACACTGCGCTATTTCCCGCTATCTCTTAAGTCACCGGGTGGGTGCGGTGGGTGTTGGCAGGTTTCCTTTCAATTTAAGAAGCGAAAGGTGATTCCATGCTAGCGGCTTCTTTGAGTTTCACTTCTCCTAAGCCGCGTGGGCAAGGTCTGAATTGCCATGTCAAAACATATTGGGGGACTGGGACTGTTCACGTTTCGTTCCCTGCCACGCCAGACGCAAGGAATCCAATTGTTGAAGCCCCTTGTTTCACAAGATTGTATTGAGCATGATTGATTGATTGTGTGTGTGTCATCAAATCGTTTTCGGCGCCAAGTGACAACATAGATAGATTTTGTCTATGAGCATTGACCGTAGAAAAGGGCAATATACTCCACCATGTGACACCATGTGTACCATTGGTTTCATTAAGAAAACTTGGCCTGCAAACAAAAATATGAATGCTGTTCTTTAAAAGGGTTGCAAACTCTGAGGATAGGTCTTGCATCCCTTTTTGAAGTGGAAATATTAAAGTGGTTGCTCTGCTTGTCATTTCGTACTGTAGGGAAGTGCATAAAACTTTTTAATTGGATGGTCCCATTCTTGTGCAGAGGCTTCCAAGGTTGTATATAAAACCTGACTTACCGTACATAAATTGGACTTCATGCAACTGTTTCTATAAGACATAATTTTCAAGGTGTGGAAAATAATTGTGTTATTACATGGATCCAAAGCAATAGGGGATATAGGTAATTAATAGGATCAAGCCGGGCTGGCTTGATCCCATCCTCTCAGTTTTAATTGATTCGGTTTTAATTGGGTTGTTTTAAATTATTTGGGCCAAAATTATTTAATTGTTTTTAAATTGTTTTTTAAATTTTGTATACTATGTTTTATTTTGGCTGTGCACCGCCCTGAGTCCTGCGGGAGAAGGGCGGTATAAAAATTAAAATAAATTAAATAAATAAATAAATAAATAAATAATAATTCAACAAAGTTGGAAGGGACCTTGGAAGTTTTCTAGTCCAACCCCCTGCTTAGGCAGGAAACCCTACACCACTTCAGACAAATGGTTATCCAACATCTTAAAAATTTCCAGTGTTGGACCATTCACAACTTCTGGAGGCAAGTTGTTCCACTGATTAATTGTTCTAACTGTCAAGAAATTCCTCCTTAGTTCTAAGTTGCTTCTCTCCTTGATTAGTTTCCACCCATTGCTTCTTGTTCTACCCTCAGGTACTTTGGTTTGACTCCCTCTTCTTTGTGGCAACCCCTGAGATATTGGAACACTGTTATTATGTCACCCCCAGTCCTTCTTTTCATAAGACTAGACATAATGATGAATATAGCAGAGTGAACCTTAAGATGGGCAGCAAAACCCACAAGAGCCTTAAGGTGGAGGCTTTCATTTTTATCCATTTGTCAGCATCCCTTGAGAAATTTGTAAGTTTGGTTTAGGGAGAAGATGCTTGGTCAGGTTCCAGTTTGCAAAAATCAGGTAATACAGAACTTTCCAGAAGTGGTACATGTTGGGGAGTGCCTAGTCACATTATTTTCAGTATCCAGGGTCTTTAAATTATCTCCTGTGTCTTCAAGCAATTATGTAAGTAAAGTCTACATTTTAAAGAAATGTTCTGATACTTTCTCAGAAAAAAAAATCTAACTCTAGTGAAATTAAGCAAGGAATTGCTATTGAGTCTACAAAGCATTATTGTACTTACTATTGTACAAGTACTACTGTACTTACTATTATTTTTTAAAGCAATATGCTGTCAAGTATAGTGAGACAATGACATTTATGTTGCCATGTGCTGTTCTTAAAAATATTTAAGAGTAATTTTTGCTTCAGATGGTTTACTGTTAATATGATATGATGTAGGTATTTGTCCTGCATGAGCTAATTTCTTTCTATTTAATTTACTGCAGATGAGTCATGTCCAAATCAGGGGTCATTCGTGTGGGACTTGGTATAGTTCTTGGAGCAGCTGCAGGAATAGGTCTCATCTTTTATTTCTACAAACAGAAGAGAAAGAAGCCCAGTCAGAAAAACAACTCAATATATCCAGTTGTACATTGTCAGCAAAATGCTATGTATGTTCATGAACAGGCAGAAACCCTTCAGCCTTATAATCAGGGTAAGTTGATGAATAATTTATTTTGCATTTTTAGTTATTCAAGACTGTACTTACGCAGAGTAATAAGATATATTTTTCTTCCTAACATTTTTCCCACAAGTGCAGGGGCCGCTTTTTTTAGGGATCAACTATGTGTTGATTCATTAATTGTGACAGGAATTCATGGCTGACTTCTCACCTGAGCCTGATGTTGTTCATGCCTAAGGCAGGCAAGAACCCACAGTCTCCTGGTTTCTACCCTGGTGTTTTAACCATGAGACCAAATTGGTAGTAAGAGATTATATTAGATCATTATTCCTCATTGAATTTGAAACTCAGTGCCAGTGCTCCATATTATTTTGCTTAATTCCAGCGTAGATATGATTTGAGACCACAATCCCTTTGTTCTCCTAAATGAAATCATGAATTCTATTCTGATTATTTTAAAATAATTTCAACAGTGCAAACAGGACTTTTTTTTTATAGAATTAGAACTGTAACAAAGCATTTCTATTTATATCTTTAATGCATATTCTTCTTCCATGCCACTTGCCAGAAAAATAAAGTCTATTTACTGAGATACTAACTTGTATCAGTATTATCAGAATTATTATAAGATACATTCCAAAAGCTAGAGTTGGGCTCTGATTTCTCAGTTCAGGCCCATTTCTCTGGGTCTCTGTGTGAGATGTCTGTATCTATCTCTGAAATTGGTTCCTTTCTTGCTGCTTGAATGAGTCCCAAGACTTGGTAATTAATATGCCTAAAAGCATAAAATTGTATAACTAAAACATAATAAAAGTATTGTGAAAATAAGCAAAATAGATATAAGAATTCATTTTAGAAAAAATAATGATTTTTGACTGATTTCTGAAGTAAAGCCAGTTGTTGCTAATCTGCTCTTTAGAAGAAGGTGCTCCGTAAGGCAATGCCCACTAGCTATGAAACAGCTTCTCTGGGCTCCTTAGCATATAAGAACAGCAACGTACAGCATTCCTTCTTGGACAAACATGTAGGACAGGTCAGGTCAGTTCTACTTGTAGAAAGTGATAGTACCAGAACCTAGGAGCCAAGCCATTTAGAAATGTATTAGTAATCAGTGTGGTACTCACAATATCAGTGTAATGACTCTCAATGGCCAACACAAATCCTCCTAAATGAAGAGAAGATTCAATAGCTTTCAGGATTGCTTAGGACAGTCCATGGTCACTGTGGAAAATCTGAGCCCTGCCAAATACTCTTCCTATGGCATGAAAATTAAGGTCCCTCAGGACTAATATCCAGGGAAGCTCCTGTGCCAGCTTTGCAACAAGTTCCATCAGCATGCCAAGAGATCCTCCTCAGAATGCGTCAGTCAGTATATGAACAGGAACCCTATGCTGTCCCTATACTAATCTAATACAGAGGTATTTGTACCCCATCAGCCCCAGAAGTATGTCACACAGAAATTTAAACTGATATTTGTTTACAGTAGATTAAAAAAAGAACGATATAAAATTAGAATTCAGGGCCAATCGATCAAATGCATGTATGCAGCTCTGTGTTTTGTCCACATATCTAAAAGTTTTTAAAGTAACTACTAGCCGCAATTTTGTGCAGTACAGATGAAGTAACTTTTTGGTAATTATTTTTCTCATGCTAGTTCCATGGATGAGACCAGAACCAGTGGAGGGTGGTGATAGCGTTCCATATACATCTCTTCTAACACACGAAGAGCAGGCTGAAGTCTTAAACCGTCTTGATTTTGTGCTCAGAAGCCTTATAGAGTTGCGACATGAGGTGCAAGAATTACGGAACAGCCTACAGAGTTTAGCTGGAGAAATTATTGGAGAAGTCAGGTGTGTATCTGTTTTTCCCAGATTCCAGGCTACAGAAGATTCCAGGTACCAGAGACTATTGGTCAAGATTTGTGTGAGATCACTAGGATTACTCTTGCTGTTATCTGCAGAACAGCTAGTTTTTTAGTGTAACCTCACTGATGCTCCCTTTGTATATAGCTTCATTTTTATTTTTTAGCAGAAGAAAGAACAACCTAATTATTCTGAATGTCAAAACAAACTGTTGTATCAGTTACAATTATTGCTTCATTTTGTAGCAGTGTAAGAAATAGGAGACTCTCTTTTCTAAGAGAAAGGATGTGTAAAAGAGGCAACTTTTTTCTTTTAAAGCTGTACGTGCAATTTTAATCTGAAACAACAAGTTTCCAAATAATGTTGGGTTTAATAGCCTTTGCTGAATTCAGCTTTTTGTTCTTATCCTTTCTTTTATTTGGATGTCTGCCTGCTTCTTTGCTTCTTATGTTTCACTTACATTTTTAGGGGCAAAACCATGAAGTAATGCTTCCCATTGGGCTTTTCCTGTTGCAATCGTCGTGTCATTACTATGCCTTTGGGAAGTTATTGGAGAATGTTTATTTCCCTGAAGAAACTTGAAGAAGTTATTCCCCTCAATTTTTTTTTCTGTTCAGAAAAGTGTAGAATTGCAAATGACCTACTTTACTTAAATTAACTAACTTTCAGATGATGAATATGTTTATGAAATGCAGAGCATGATCTCCAGGGAGTTTCCAACTCATGATACAAGTATAACATGTCACAGAGTCTGAGCAAAAGCTAGATTTTATCTAATGCTCAAGAGGCTCAGAGAATAGATGACATGCTTTTAATCCATGATCAACATTTTTGGGGAGCAATTCTTTCCATAGTATAATGAGAATACAGTCATGAAGACAAATTATTATTGTAAAAAATATTCAGAGACTATTTTCCTAGAATATTCAAAAGGTTTTTCTCGGTGGTAGCAACCTGTCCCAATAGGTTAGATCATGTTTCCTATATTTGTTTTCTGCCAATTGAAGATTTTTTTTTTCATGTAAGCATGTGCCCTTCCTGTTTAATTTTATTTGCTCACTATGGTCATTTTATAGGTATCTTAACTTTTATAAATACATTTTAATAATTTATATTTTGTAAGTTATGTTCCAATTTTTGAAGGATAAATAGCAGAGCATACATTTTTTTTGTATATACTGTATATATATATCTATTTTGGAATTGGACTCATTTTGAATTGTATTAAACGGAACAACAAAAATTGTTTTGGTAGGCAAAAAGAAATGGACTATCAATTATTATAAAGTTTCATTGTGTTTTATGCCAACTATCTCTAACTTTGCAGGTCCCATCTAGAAGAAAGCCAAAAGGTTATTCGGCGGAGGCGTTTTATATATCCCAGAGAAAGAAGCGATTCCACAGGATCCAGCTCAATATATTTCACAGCCAGTTCAGGAGCTGGCAACACAGACGATGGAGAAAGTGAGGGGGGGTAAGGAACTTTTAGTTTAGAGCAAGGAATAGTTAAGTTTAATTTGGCTGATCAGGAGATAAAGGCAACAGTAGACAGTTTGCATTTGCTGTCAAAACATCAAGGGTAAGGATGAAAATGAGAATTATGAGGAGGGTTTTTTTCTCATTGACTCAATCTGGATAATTTAAGCAGCATTTGTGGAAGTGGCTTGCCCTTGCCTCCTTCCTAGGACAGAGAGAGTGAACAGTCCAAAGCTACCAGGTGGCTTTGTGCTTAAGGCAGGACTACAAATCTTAGTCTCCCAGTTTCTAATTCACTGTCTCTAACCTACATCAAACTGTCTTTTAAGATTAATGTTAATATAAACATTTAATATTAAGGAAGGAACCCTAATATTTTAGGTGTTTTTTTTCTGATACATCTTTGTCATATATTCAATGGGTATCAGAGTGGTAATCGAGTATGCATGTAGTGGCACAGAAATAATAGTTCCAAGTGAGGTTTTGAGGTAATTAGTACTTAATATCTTTAGGTTTACCTTTGACATATTAGCTACATTTCCATACAGGGTAAGCTATGAGTTTCCAGAAGACTTGACGACTGAATCAGTTACATGTTTATATATGCCACATATTTGTGCCCATTGGCTCTTTCTCCTTGGGCCAACATCTGAAAATTTAATGGACTTTCAAACTGAGTTACTCACTTGCTCTTTAAGATGCCAGGATTATAAACCAGGAGCATGCCTTGGTTTACTATCTTTATTTAAGAAATGCAAAAAGCCAAGAACCAAAATTCAAATAATATTAACTTTTCTTGTTAGTTTAATGGTATATTAAAGTGGTAGAAGCCAATTAGAATGAGTGGGACACACTGCTTACTCGCTGTGAATTCCCCAAGTTATGGCTTATTGTTGAATATGAATTTAGACATTGGTTACTTGATTTTTAAATTCTGCATGTGCTTGACACGGAAGTATAAATACTGTGTTTTCTTTAAAGCTATACTACGGCCAATGCAGAATCAGATTATGATAGGGAATCTGATAAAGAGAGTGATGAAGGAGAAGATGAAATCAGCTGTGAAACAGTTAGAACTGGGAGAAGAGATTCCTTGGACCTTGAAAATGAAGATGAAGCAGGGCTGAGTTTGGACACTGCTTCAGAAGAAGAGCTTGCTCAGTTACTGCACCAAGCCGATAGCTCACACAGAGGGACTGACCAGGAGAAGAAAGAAGGTTTCCAACTACTGCTTAACAATAAACTTGTGGTAACTCTTAATTGCTTATTCTGGGGGGAAGGGGGGAATGTGTGTGAATTAACATGCAGCGAAGAATACAGGTGTTGTGCAAAGTCCTACCTAAACCACATCAATAATGAGTCCAAGCAACTAAATGCAAACTAACCATTGCTCTTGTAAGCAATTAGAATCCTCAGTGTGGCTGAGACTTGGCTTAATTTAAGAGCATTGAAGTACATTTGTTTCTTGTATATTAAATAATTTAATAGTAAATATTCTAAGGCTGATAAAAGTGAAATTTGAACATCTCTATGTCAATAGCAAAGCTGTCATCAGACTTTTTTCCCACTAAAGATTATTCTGCAAAGTTATTTATCCAAGCTTGTTTTATATTTCCAAAAAGGCTATATGTTACATTTTATAATATAAACAAGAAAAATAGTTAACTATTTAGGATAATAATCCCAGATTTGTTTATAGAGAAGGAATCTCACCTTCAATTTCTTTTCTTCCTCTATGGAATTTCCTTAAGTACAATTACATCTGTATTATCCTTATCTTTTTGTTTTGTAAAATGCACAAATTATTTATTTCCTTAAATAAACAATCAGCATTCACACAAAGGGAGTCTGGTCTTTTAGCCTAATTAATTTTGCTATTTTAAAAGATACTTTGTCAGGGGAAAAAAATTCTTCTGGTTTTTTTTTATAATCACATTTTTAAAATGTGTTTTTTAAGTTTTTTAAAAAATTTATCCGTTTAAAGCTTACTTGGATCACAAACATGTTAAGCTTTTTGTTTTTAAATCAAAATCCACTAAATATTTTTCCCATTTGTAATTTCAAAAATAAGAGTCTCATCTTCCATTTGCCTTTTGGAATCTTTCTCTTAGATTGTAAAGTAATTAATTATTAAGATGTTTAAGAAAGCAGGGCTTCTGCTGGTCATAAGGCCGCACAGGGCTTAAGGGCACATTGTAGTTCCCTCATCTCTCAACCTGCTCAATTAGTGTTTGACCACGAGAAACTAAATCCCTGTGGTTGCCTCATGAGTAACAGTTCTTTCAAGAACAAGTAGGTGATCCCCAGATCTCTCCTTCTCTTTGGAGAGATTTTCATCAGCCAGAACCTGGCTCCTGGTTGGCAGTTTCACCACAGTGCTATCCTCGCTGGGGGAGCTGCTCACAGAGAGTTTCAACTGCCACCATTCCTTATCCAGAAAGCCAGTCCTCACCCAGAAACTGGAATAATTCTACTTTTCTCTTATATTTGATATAAAAGAGCCCAGCATGTTTTTATACTTCAAACAAGTGGAAGAGTTTTTTTTTTAAATTATTGATTTTACAAAGTCTACCTTTTAATATAAATCTTCGCAAAGCATTATAATTTAGCCCTGAAACTATGCTATATGGCCATGATGGCGAACCTATGGCACGTGTGCCACAGGTGACACGCATAGCCATATCAGTGGGCACACGAGCTCAGCTCCGGCGTGCATGTGCGTACCGGCTAGCTGATTTTTGGGCCTTCTGGGCCCACTGGAAGTCAATGAACGGGCCCGGACTCCAGAGGGCCTCCGAGGGGGTGGGGAAGGCCATTTTTGCCCTCCCCAGGCTCCTAGAAAGCCTCTGGAGCCTGGGGAGAGAAAAAAATGGGCCTACCGGGCCCACTGGGCCATCACGTGCCAAAAGCGGGGGTTTTGTGGGGGGGCTGCGCACGCACGCGTGGGGGTAGGGCACATAAAATTATGGGTGTGGGCACACATGTGACACACACTCCACGCTCCCCCCAGGTTTGGCACGCGATGGCAAAAAGGTTAGCCACGACTGCTGTATGGTATAAGTGCCATTTACCTTAATCTAGAAGAAATGAAATGCAAAGATATAAATTGGTATTCATTCTGTCTACAGTATGGTGACAAGCAGGATTTCCTTTGGCGTCTGGCCCGAGCTTACAGTGATATATGTGAAATCACAGAAGACACAGAGGAGAAGAAATCGTATGCATGCGATGGTAAGAAGAAACTTTAGTGAATTTTTTTTTACCAGTTAAATTCAACCAGACAGTTATTCACCTAACCTGGAAAACATTTTCTGGAAACAACATTTTACTGAAGTTTATTCGTGTTGTTATAAAAACAATAGATTACATTAAAAACGGGTAGATTGAAAAGAGTTTGGATAAACAGAAAACAATATTGATTCACAATGCTACGGTTATCTTTACTCAAATATATTGTATATTTGTCCTAGCTCACATTTTTGATTCTTGGCCAATCTGTAGGCAGCTTTTCAGATTTCTGAACATACGATTATCTCATAGTCATCCAGCTTCCTTTGCTTCTTATGCTGTCTCCATTAATTGGCCAATTGTTTCTCATAATAGAAATTGTGTATATTTTGTACTTAAATCAAAATCCCAGCTCTTCTGCAAGCTGAATTTTGCCTAAATTCAATATTTTCTCTCGATAGTTTTATACATGTTAAAAGCAAAGTTTGAAACCAAAGAATTTGACTTCAGTAGAAAGCAGCAGGATTCTTGTGGCTTTGACAGCTATAATGATGGCTAAATCCTTATACGGTAGATATTATTTGCTAAAGTAGCACACTGCAAAACATACAGATTTTTGGGCATTGTATATGACACACACACACACACACCAGCATTAGGTAATAAATATGTAAGATTTTATACAATGTTAAACCTCCCTTTGACAAAAATTGGGTTATATTGCAGGCAAAGAAGAGGCCGAAATGGCTCTGCAGTTAGGAGATCAAAATGCTGATTGTCACCAATGGTATGTAATTATTTACTTTATATAGATAAGGGAAGAGAAAAGCTATTTAGAAAAAAAAACCCTTTAACTGGAATGCAGCCCAGATCAAGAGTATTCTAAATTATGTATTCTAAATTATGCAAGATGAAATTACCCTCCTCCAGTGAATATTTATTCATTTGGCAGAAGAGTCTCTGAGTTCACTGATAGTCCTGATTATTATTTCTGCTAGTCCTCTACCTATAACCATTCATTCAGTGACCATTTGAAGTTACGATGGCATTGAATAAATGATGGTGACTCAGTCCTCAGTTCTGGCCATCCCAGCATCTTCACAGTCATGTGATTGCAATCTGGGCACTTGGCAACCAATCGTAAGCCCCAAAATTGCATGATCTCCATTTGTATCTTTGGGTTGGGAGCCACACATTACTTTAGTATTCCCCATTGTGTGCCTGCTTACTCTGTTGTAATTCCTTCCTCTCCAATGAATGTAATATTAGTACATTAATTCACCTCTTACTGATTATCTCAGTATCCGAGTGAGCTTTCCAAAGGGCAGAGGAGTAGGGCAAAGGAAAGGTGAAGAAAAACTAAACCAGGTCATTTAGTGATAGAAATTGCTGGTCCCAATTGTCAGTAAACAAGAACTACTTGTACCAGATATTATTTCTAAATGCAATGTTCCTTTTGTGCAATGCAACACATGAGAAATGTGTCTTCAAACAAGTCTGGTAGCTGATTTTTATATAAGATACTATATTAGTTGTAATGTTTAATCAGGTAGTTTAGAAAGAGAAACATACAAAAGGGATCAAAACTCTGGGACAACTCTGAAATACATAGCAGTTGCCTAATTTGCTGAATTGTCAATATGTACGTTCTCAAAGCTAGCAAGAGGGGAAAGAAATGAATTCCCTTTCTATGTTAGGATGTCTGTAGCTTTTGCATTCCTTAAAAACTTACTGTCTGATTTAAAAACCAAAATGGGAGATTGCATATTTGCTTTGGCTTCAGACATTGATGTTTTAAGAAGAGCTGGAAGTTCAGCTAGAACATTATGGGATTTTACTAATCTCTTGAGAGAAGAAGATGCAGATGTAACAACATCAGGTTATTCATGTTATTTTCAAAATATTTACTGAAAGCTTACAAAGTTGACTGCAGTACAAAAAGACTGAGCTGGCCTTCAGGCTAAATGGAGTTCTGGAGACGTATTGCTTTAGAAGAATAGAGATGTTTATTTAGAAACACTGCAGCACTTTAAGCCTCCCAGGGCTGAATTGCTTCTAAATAATATCCTTATATTTTTGTGAATTTGAATTTAAAATATATTAATCTTTTTCTTAAATATTTTAACAACTGTAAATGCTCAGAGTTGCTGGGAAAGGCAGCATGTAGGTTTAGTAGATGATGATGATGATATTGATTCTGGAGATAATCCCCAGAACTGGCATCAGTTTTTATTTATTACTATTGACATATTTGAAAATCATCTTGTTTGATTTTCATAATCTGAACTTTAATATATAGACAGAAGCCTTTCTGTTTAAGCTGATGATACTTTGGCTAAGGGCAGTTTTTGACAATCTTACTGAAGTACAAATAGCATCCCAGGGCTCCATCATCTAGGTAACTCAGACAATGATTCCAGAAACAAAACCAATACCTTGTCCATAGCCGATCATTCATTTGCAATACTCTTCCTATTCTTTTTAGTCATATTCAATTCACTGGAAGGATGGGTGAGAACACACCTGGTCCCCAGGACCTTGAACAGGGTCTTCTGCCTATGGTTTCCTATACTCTTAGTCATGATGTCATTCTGGGCTCCATGTTGGAATTGGGTGTTGATTCTGGTGTCCTTGTAAGTGCTTAGAAATTACTGTCCTTGACACATCTACACAAACAAGGAAGTTGGAAAATCATGTTTCTCATTCATCTGTAGTTTGTCACTCCATTTTATAATGTCCACTTCATTAAAAAGTGACTGGCTCCATGGCAAAACAATCAAATGTTGTGATGATGAAATGTGGGCAATGAAAGGTGTGAGATAAGAAAAGACAGAGCTTGCATCACAATGCATATTTCATGATTCTGATAAAACCTCCAGACTATAGACATCTGTGTTGGTTCCTGCATAGGAAATGTCATACAGAGAGAGAGAAGAAAAATCACATAACAAAGTAAATGGGCTGGAAACTTTTGTGGCTCCCCCCCTTTTTTTTTCTTCTTCTTCTTCTATTCGTTCTTGTTTTATTTGTTTTATCTGTGCCATTTTTATAGTGGGTTGCTCTGTTGAGATTTTCAGACTTTGTGTCATTGTTGATCTTCAACTATCAAAAGCCTACTGTGATGTAGTTACAAAGAATGTAAAAGAAATAAGCCTTCTCTAACAGATGTTGCAGTTTCGTCAGTTCAGCCATTCTATGGTCTGCTTTTAGGTGTAAAGTTCCAATCTTCTGAAGCAAGTGATAAGTCAGCCTGCTCCTCTCTATTCTGCAGCACTAGCTTTCCTATGAAAATCCAGGCTTATTTAAAACCAGTGTTCTCTTTATGTTCCAAACAAGAATCTCTTGCTGAAACCCAGTTTATGAACTACCTTTCTACCCTCGGGGCTCTCAAGATGGTTAACAGTCTGAAATAGAATATTAACAAATTTTAGACATGAATGAAAACAAATTATTATTATAATTCTAACTCTGGAAATCTGGCTGAATCACAAATGGAAAAGTTCTCAGGGTGTATCTTCCATAGCTTTCAGTTGTTGACTCTTCAAGCACTACATTTCCTGGGGAAAATTTAAAAAATAGGATACTAAATATAGGAACAAAAAAGGGAGGAGGCCCCAAAATTGTATAAATTATGACTTATAGTCCAAAAGTGTCATAAAAGCCAATTTGGTTTCTCTGTGTACTCAGCCAGTTAGTCCAGAGAATTATTTATAGTACTCAGCACACATTGGAAAAGTATTTTGTGCATTTTGAAGAGCTGTTCAGTTGCGTAATGAATAAAAATAGACACTAAAAATCATTTAAATTTGGAATATACTCATGATGAATATATTTTTGGCTAAGAAGTAGCCAGATAAGATCAGCTATGTTTTCGTTCATGGCCTTCTGTGTTGCATTGTGTTGCTTTTTAACTGCCCAAAACCTGGTTTGGGGGTTGCTAATTCTGCATTTGAATAGTCTTACTATAATAAAAACTTCTATAATTTTATTTTGCGATTTAATATTTAGCTTTATTTTAAATACTTCTACATGGTTAGCCAGCCACCTGTTGGCTAAAAGAATGGGATATAAATATTCTGTTTTGTAAAAAAAACAAAAAAAAAACAAGCAAGATATATAGTTCACCATGAGGTCTGATTTAGACAAGACTGTGTATCTCCTTACAGTCCTAGGTGACTGATTCTGTTTTTTCAGCTGGCCAAAGTTCATGAGAATCTGTTCACTTTGGAGACCCACGGCATTGCTCCAAGATCTGAACCATCAGTCTTATGCTGTGGGATAGCAGCAGGGGAGGAAAGAAAGACAAGACTAATGAAACTTTAAATATCTTTCCAGTTTATTTCCCAAGAAGTGAAATTTTATCTGAACCAGTGGGAGAATGTGTGGTATTGACTTTGTTAGCCCATGAAGCTGATTCATTTTGTTGTCCCAGATTTCCCTTGCTGTTACTATGCAGAGTACGGGTTTTACTTTTGTTTGACACTTCCTGGTTTCCTGGCTTGGCCTGGTATCTCAAAACAGGAATAGAAAAAGAAAGAAAAAGTGAGCCTGCAGCCTGATTCTATGCTTGAACCTGACTGAGTTTCACTGGGCTTACTCCTGAATACATGTAAGATTGTAGCTTTGAGGTAGAAAATATTTCACAAAACTGCCGCTACTGAAGCACTGTTGACAGTTACACTAGGTAGATCATACCAGAAAATAGCTCAATAGGAAACAGCTCCATAGGAAGACCACAACTACACTTTGAGATTGGCTTTAGTAACAGATTTTTGCCAAGTTGTGCTTCATTTTCCTCTTTCTTATGCTTCCTGTAAACTTTACCTTTTTCCAGGATTTAAATAATGTTTCACACATATTCCTTTGTCTAGCTAACAATTCTTGTGTATTTTTGTCAGTGTTACTTCCCTTACTCTTTATCCTATTCAATTCTTCTTGCTTATTGGTTTAGTTATGTATTTATTATTGGTAAAGCACCATATTCCAGAATGCTAAGACATGTATAGATAAGTTCAAATGGCAGTATAGCTAATAATACAATAAAATAAGCCACAAAGCAGTAAAATAACAATGCCACCACTGCCACATAGTTGTTTTAGTTGTTCATCTCGAGAGGTCTCTTGGAAATAGCCAGGATTCAATAATTCTCTGGAATGTGTGAGCTATTCTAGCATCTGAGATAAGCTTTCCTAAAGGAAGGAAGTATTGCAGTCTCCAAGAATGTCTGTTTCTGTGCCTCAGTAGTACCTGCTAATAGGAGGAGATCTTTGGCAGGAGCTGTCTCTTCATCCACACATCAGGTGGACTGAATTTACTTGGGATGGAAAGTTTCTAAGATACCCAGCCCAAAAGTCACATGGAGTTTTTAGGTGATGACAGTGAGAAAACGAACTGGTAGCCAATGCAGCTTCAGTAGCCATGTTGTTATGTGTCATGCTCCAAAAACCAAGAAAGACACACTGAACAACTTCAAAGCAGCTTCCCTTATTGTTCTTCACTTATAGACAGAAATGTTGCCCAACTAAAGCAAACGATTATCCTTAAAGGTATACTCTGAGAATTTCTATGGAGGACTGCCTTGACCTCCCTTCCTCCCAACCAAACTATCTAAATGTCGCTGTCTCTTGCTCCTCTGGAATGCAGCTCCTCCTTCTTGACAATCCAAACAACATTCTACAATTTCATGTGACAATACTGTGTGTCAGTGGTGAAATGTAAAATTTGTTACTACCAGTTCTGTGGGCGTGGCTTGGTGGTGGTGGTGGGTAATGTGACTGGGTGGGCATGGCCAACTTTTTTTTTTTTTAACTTTTAAAAGCATTTTTTCTACAATCTCTTTGGCCGAAGAGATTGTAAAAGAAATGCTTTTAAAAGCCTCTGATGATCAGGCAACTCAGTTGGGATTGACAGGGGCTTTTAAAAGCATTTTTTTCTACAACCTCTTCGGCTATTGATTTACCTTGATAAACCAATTGTCACTTTATCTTCAGATATCAGACTTATTTATGTTTCCTTCATTACATTGATCAAATTATGTAGAACATCTACTACTGGTAGAGATTATTTTCCTTCATATAAAAGAAATTGTGATAACAAAAATCATTCCAGAAGAGCATTAAAATGTAGCTTTGCTAGTTGCCTGGGGTTCTGAGAGGGGCGTTCACCACTGGAGATAATTGACGGGTTAAGAAGACCTCAGGGACGCGGTGGCTCAGTGGCTAAGACACTGAGCTTGTCCATCGAAAGGTTGGCAGTTCAGCAGTTCGTATCCCAGATAACAGGGTGAGCTCCCATTACTTGTCCCAGCTTCTGCCAACCTAGCAGTTCAAAAGCACGTAAAAAATGCAAGTAGACAAATAGGGACCACCTTTGGTGGGAAGGTAACAGCGTTCCATGTGCCTTTGGCATTGAGTCATGCCAACCACATGACCACGGCGATGTCTTCCGACAGCGCTGGCTCTTTGGCTTTGAAATGGAGATAAGCACCGTCCCCTAGAGTCGGGAACAACAAGCACATATGTGCGAAGGGAACCTTTACCTTTTTAAGAAGACCTCATCCCCATTCCCAGTTCTGGTTTCAGTATAGTTTTTAGTATCATAATCTGGATAGTTTTAATGTTTTAGAATTTTAATTATTTTTTCTATTTGTTTTATAACACATAAGCCACCCTGAGTCACTTTACAGGGGAGATGGGTGGCATAAAAATTCAACAAATAAATAAATAAACATTGAAGGTTATATGTAATGTAACTACTTCTACCAATTTTCTGCTGTGTTCTTTTTACTAAATAAGGAAATTGTAGTAACCTTACATTTTAGTGACTGGTGTCCATCCATCAAAATGATAGATAGGATGTCTCTATTTCTGTAAAGAGGATATTAGGTTTAGATTAAGCACCTCTATGCCAGAAAAATAAATACAAAACCATAACTGTACTAATGATGAAGTTTGTTGTAATTTCTAGGTATGCAATTCTGTGTGGTCAGTGTTCAGAACATGAAAGCATACAAAAGCGCATTCAAGCTGGACATGCCTTTAAGGTAGGTAGGACTGCCTTTTATATTCAAAAGATTTTTTTACTGCATAATTCAATGGGCTTTTTTACTCCAGGGAAGAAAGTGAGGATACATCTTGACCAAAGCTTGGGGGGCTTGTAGGAAAGACTCCAATAGTGGAATAAGAATGAATAGTGGAATAAGAATATTACTGATTGATTATAATCATGGTTTACTTGAAAAATTAATGTATGTGATGATTTTGATTTACAACTTTAGTCAATATTTTACATCAAAAAATTCCAACATACATCCCATCCTGTTCTTGTCTTGCCCAAACTGCACATATGTGAAAGTTATATATATGTGAATCAGACAGCTATGGACAAGGCAATAAAATGAGCTATCTGGAGCAGGGGTCTCTAACCTTGGCAATTTTAAGCCTGGAGGACTTGAACTCCCAGAATTTCCCACCCAGCAAAGCTTTGAAGTCCTCCAGGCTTAAAGTTGCCAAGGTTGGAGACCCCTGATCTGGAGCACTCTTTGTTTGGAAAGAAATTATTGAAGGAAGAACCAGTCTTGACAAATCTTCATTCTGACACAGCCTTAAACTCTACTATTCACAGAGCCTTCTTCAGTCCACCATTTCTTCCCTGGAAGTCTGAAAATAACTTCCTTTCTCTTAACGGAGTGTAAGAGACAATTTGAGAAAAATGTTTGTATTTCATCTTCAGCGTAGACTAGGGCATTAGCAAGTGCTATAGTACTATATTTGCTAGAACAATTGCTTTAATTTAGTAACCAATTCTGCCTGAAATTCTTGAATGCTTGTACTGAATTTCATCTTTTGAATGTTATTTCCTAATTTATTGCAAACGAAACGACTCTTTTGCCTGTGTGGTTTTGTTTTGCTTTTTCTTTAGAAACATATTGATGAAGCCATTGCTCTGAAACCAGATGATCCGATATCTTATTATCTCCTAGGTCGGTGGTGTTACCAGGTAAATTATTTTCATCTCTATGGGTTTTTGTTTTTTTAATCCGAAGCCATCATACTAAATAATTTTGCCTGCATGCAGAAAATAAAAGAACAAATGCTTTAGGGAAGTTTTGTATTAAATGTCTGCAATTGGTAATCAATTGTTAGCTACTGATAGAATTATCACAGAAGTGTTCAGTTTCATTGAAGGTTCAATTATTTGAATTTGCCATGTTATAGATATGGGTAGTTCTGCACCAATAGGGCGTCAGTGTCACAAATGTTGCAACCTAGTTTTGGCATATAAAGGAAAAACCTTTATATCAGTGGTGAAATGTAAAATTTGTTACTACCGGTTCTGTGGGCGTGGCTTGGTGGTGGTGGGTAATATGACTGAGTGGGCGTGGCCAACTTTTTTTTTTTACTTTTTACTTTTAAAACCATTTTTTCTACAACCTCTTCGGCTGAATGCTTTTAAAGCCTCTGATGATCCCAGCTGACTTGCTGGGGCTTTCTTTTTTTTTTTTTTTTTTAAAGCCTCTGATGATCCCAGCTGAGCCACGCGATCATCAGAGCCTTTTTTATTTACTTTTAGAAGCATTTTTTCGGCCAAAGAGGTTGTAGAAAAAATGCTTTTAAAAGTAAAAAAAAAAGGCTCTGATGATTGCGCGGCTCAGCTGGGCAATGGGGGGGGCAGTGATTTTTGCTACCGGTTCTCCGAACCACCTGCCTCCATCGCTACCAGATTGAGCTATCCGGTCCGAACCGGGAGCATTTCACCCCTGCTTTATATGTAGTGTCTTTTAAAAAAATCTTCTTTGTCTTGTAATTGGCCACGTGATACAACACTGAAGTGATGCATCATAGCAAACAGTTGAAGAAAAGTTAAATTGTAGCCGTTGCAGTGTGCAGTATGAATGTTCGGTGCTTGATGATGATAACACATTAACACTCACTTGTCTCATAATCTGTCAATGTTCAGGGTTCCAAAAACATCTAAATCACTTAAAAAAATTAAATAAAATCTTAATTATTGGCAAAAACATGCTTCACTCAGTAATGATACATGATTTAAAGTTTGCTGACTTAAACAAGTTTAAGAGCCAAATACATATTCTGGAACAAAGCACAAATCTACATAAATATGAGTGAAATATAGTTATATGCAAATAAATGTATTACCCAAATACAATATTAATTTTACAAATAGATGAAAATCAAATATGTCAGATGACAGTGAGATATATAATGAAATGATGCACTATTTCTACTCATCTTGATTGCTGTTTTCTACCAATATTTACTTTATATAAATTGCATATAAATTTACTATATGGTATAGTAAATATTTTTACAATTTTATATTGTGTGTGTTGAAATTGATGTAAGCCATAAGCAGCCACTTCTGATAAACATTTTAGTAATTCTTATTTGCAATGTTTAAGAATTAAAAAAATGTTTGTGAAAGTAGGGTGGGGTTTTTTTTGCCATGGTGGATGGTTTTGTAGTATTTTTTATTCCTATGTATTATTTGCGCATTTTGAATTAGCAATATTTCTGATAATTGATTACTATTTTCTCTTTTTTTGCTAATTAAATGCAAAAAGAGTAAAACAATATTTGATGAAAGCAAGTCTTTCAAGCGATGAGAAAGCAAAAATCCTAGACAGTTTTGAGCCTCAATGTTTTGATCGTTTAAAAATTTTTTAAAATATTTTTTACAGCTTTATGCTTATACTTTTCTCTGCTTTTGCTCCATAAAAACAATCACCTCCTGTCTTTTGAAAACATATGGATATGATTAAGATCTTACCGAGAACTCCAGGGCTTTTGCATGCAGTGTATTTGTAAAATCCTTTACATACATTTTTCTTCTGCCCTTTTATTGCAAATAAATATGGCATTTATTACATAAAAGCATATCATCTTCTTTATATTGTTCAAAGGAACAAAAAATGAAAACCACTACTATCATTTTCAGTTCTGGACATGCATATAAAAAGCAGAATTTCAGTATGACTTTAACTTTGATTAAAAGGAGTGTATATTGCCCACATATTTGCTATATGTTAGAGAAGGAAGGTAGACTTGATATTTAACCTCTTGAACAAATGATTGTTAGCAGGAGGAAGTAGTGGCCCAATCCATTCTTACACATGTGGCAGTTCTTGTTAAGTGTTGAGACATAGGTATCCACTTCTGTGCATTTAAAAAAATATACAGTATGGCTTAAAGAAATACTTTGAACACTTTGTTAAATGTGCTGGCATACTTTCAAACAAACTTGCCATCACCTTTAGAATTTTTTGAGGTTAAAAAAAATATGCCCTCTGCTAAATAAAAGTGAAGCAGGTTGCTTACCAAGTTTTATGAAATTTATTTAATTGTTTTTCTGTAGGTTGCTCATTTGGGATGGCTGGAAAGGAAAACTGCTTCTGCTTTATATGAAGAACCTCCCTTAGCCACTGTCCAAGATGCACTGCAAAACTTCTTAAAGGTATTTAGACTGAACAAAACTCAAACTGATTAGTTACAATAGTCTTGCAGAAGCCTTAAGTAAAAGATACTAAAGTTAGACATGGTCATTATATGCCAGGGACAATCATTGGCTCATTATATGTGAGTGCCAGGCATATGTGAACAAAGGTAAGATAAGACACTATGCTCTGTGCATAAATAACTTGATTCGGATGTGCATAACTTTAACTTCACGCATTTCACATTATGACGTATTGACCAGTTGAAATATTTTGTTCTAGTACTCAGTAAGGCCAAACGGAAGGCTTAGAATAGTCAGCTGTTGTAATGTTTGTTCTAGCTCTTATTTTTTATTTTGAAGGTACTCCACTAATTCAGTCAAAGCTCTTAAATTGTAGGTGTTGTAGATAAGGTAGATGATACTGTAAATTAGTTAATCTGTGGATTGAGTGGATTCATTTTTATATTTGATGAGTGGATGAATGGATTCATGTTTATCTTTTAGGTAGATCTTTATTCTTTCTTTTTTAATGACATTGCCAAAATTTAGCTGATTGTAATTTGCTGCATTAGGTGCAGTATCACTCCTTATTTACTTTAAAATGTCTCTGGAGTCTTATATATTCTTTCTGTGTAGACTACAAGGGCCTCTGTTATGGTTATTGCTCCTCTTATCTGAGTTTCTTTTTTTTTTCCTGTTGTCTATTGCTTGAAATGTTTTTCTGGCTGATCTTTTTGCATTCCTCTGCTTTCTTAGGCTCATTTCTTAAAGCCCATTATTTATCTTAGGTCTCCTTTCATTTTTTTTCCTTTTCTTTTCCATAGCATGTTTTGTTTAATTATTGAAGTTATAATCATAAACAGGACACAGGGGACCTTAAATTTGTAAGGTTGACAGTGTTAGCCTATTGATATTTGTACACCTTTAAATTAATGTACCATGCAAGTAATACATAGCAAAAATATACAAGCAATATGTGGCATATTTCTTTTATTTATTGATTACAATAGTGAAACAAAGCATACAAAACAAATTGTAAAATTTGAACCGTTGAACTGCCAACCTTTCGATCGACAAGCTCAGCGTCTTAGCCACTGAGTAGCAAATCCAGAGCCCACTTTAAAAGGCTCTGCTGTAGTTGTGAGCATGATGGCTAATCTCTTCATCTCCCAGCATTCAAACTCCTGCGGTCTCTTTGTGACGAGCAGCCATCTGGTGCATATGTGGGTAATCTCCCATCCTCTCCTTATCTGGAGAGGTTCCATAGGATTGGTCTACTTGCCATTTCTTTGGTCTTTACTGTGGTAGTTTTCTCCACTCACTTTCAGATTTGCTAGTTCTACATTCCTCTCTGGAAGTCCATAGCAAATAATGTATTTCTGTACACATCAGCTAATATGTTGCTCATTTGTGTCTCTATAATGATAGGGTTTTGCCAGATAGAGTTTGGTGGCACTTCAAAATTGGTATGACACAAATGAAAATGTACAAGATCTTTCTTTTCTACTACAACAAACCTACATGATTTCCACTTCTGAAATGGTATTATACTGCTCAAACTTTGTATTTTATATATAGGGAAAGGAAATTAAATAATAAAAGATGTATATCGAAAGTATTTGAAAGCCTAACATATTTTTAGTGATGATTTTTACTCTCTTTATTTTCTTTTTGCCTGTCTTATAGGCTGAAGACCTAAACCCTGGTTTTTCAAAAGTGGGAAGAATATATATTGCCAAGGTAGGTGATGTGTGTGTCTAGTAATGTGTTAATGTGCATCCACTTTAAATGCATCGAACAACCTTATACTCAACGAACTTACCTCACTAGGATTATCATCAAGCCATTGGTTCATTATTCCCATTATTTCTGACTGTGTAATAATATCAGGTATTTTTAAATCATACTACTGAATATCTGTTTAAACTGACCTTGTTACAAAATTAAACTTGAAACCTATTTTATGCAGACTTTGTCCCAGTGGTGTACAGCTGTTATTTCTATGGCATGGAAAATAACTATCAAATGCAAATTGCTTAAATACAGGTAATCCTCACTTAATGACTGCTCTGTTTAGCAATCATTCAGAGTTATGACTGGGCACTGAAAAAGTATCTTTATGACTGGTCCTTGGACTTACAACTGTTGCAGCATCCCTGCAGTTACATGATCAAGATTTGGACATTTCACGACTTTTTTGACTGTTGCAGTATCCCAGAGTCCCATGATCACCATTTCTGTGCTTTACAATTCACTTCTGACTAGCAGAATCAATGGAGAAGCTGGCTATAAGATTGAAAGTCACAATTCTGCTTGTCATTTGCTTAATAACTATAGCAGAAGTGAAGACATAAATCTGTCGGAGGCACATGATGTCTCACTTAATAATTGTGTTGCTTAATGATGGGAGTTGCCAGTCCCAGTTGTTAAGTGAGGACCACTTCTACAAGTAACTAAATATTCATGGAACTAACCTCTAAAGTATCCAAAAGGAAAATATTATTATGATCGGTATATAGAAGATTAATTTAAAACTTGAGGTGATCTTAGTGTTGAGATGTGTTAAAATGAATGCAATAGCAATAGATGAACATATTTTTTAAACTTTCATATTTGATGAAATTCATTGAATTAAATGTATTTGAGAAGGTGCTTGTATTTTTGTCATAAATTATTGATGTGCACAGAGGATTTGAGAAATATCCTTGGTTGCACAAATGGAACTATTATTTTTCAAGTGTTAAAATTTGAAGTGTTAAAATTTAAAATCAGTTTGAGTTTACACAAATGAAAGCCAAATAATTTATGCTAAACCAAGTAGAGAATAATCCAGGAGAATATGAGAGAATACCTTCCATTTTATGGTAATAACAGCTCCTTGTAAAATCATTCTGTCCTCAAATCCTAATCAGTACAAATTTCAACATTTTCTACAATAACTTTTATAATAAAAATTAACTACAAATTGGTATATATTTTTTAATTTTAAGAATACTTTTAATCAATCTATTTTCAGTATTGAAAAGAAATCAACATACTTTGAACTTCAATTCTTCGCAGTGTCATATTTGAACGGCTTATGTTCCAAGCTCTAATTAGCATCATCTTTAATTTGAATCAGGAGGATTACAACAATTTTTCTGTTTGTTACGTCACTTTATTTTTTTCAAAAGCTACAGTCTATGTAGTTTTGCGGTTATCATGTCTGTGTTTCATTTCAAGGAGAAAATTGGCTTTTAACTGATTTCAGTAAATGGGGACAATTTGCTGCATGTTTCATCCAGTTAGCAGGAGTGTATACATTACACCTGATATCTAAAGTGGGGTTTAATTAACACTATTGTTATGTGCAATTAATTGGGGATAAAGCCCATTGAGCACAATGGGGCTGTTGTTGTTATTGTTATATCCTGCCTTTATTTGTCACAATTCAAGGCAGCATGCTTAATGTTCCCACCTCCTGTTTTTCCCACAATAATAAATCTGAGATGTGTTGGGCTGAGGGAGAGTGAACTTGCCTACAGTTATGTTCTAGGCCAGGGGTCTCCAACCTTGGCAACTTTTAAGACTTGTGGACTTCAGTCTTAAAGTTGCCAAGGTTGGAGACCCCTGTTCTAGGCTGTACAGTGGAATGTACCTGTATGGAATGCATGTATGGTTTGTATTTTATAGCTTTGAGGTGAATTACAACAAATATAACCTTTTTAGCAATATATTATTAATCACATTCTTCTGTAGCCATTGATGGTATACTACAAGGAAATAGTAAATATGGTCTCAACAGAATTCATCAGATTGAATTCTCCCTTATTTATATATACTTAATGGGGAATGTAAATGAGGATGACAGACTGTAAGGTCTCATAAATACCTATGCAGGGTAACTGCAGAGATACATTCTGAGTTGCGGTAGACTGTTGGTCGATGTGAATTGCATCTTGAAGCACTTTATAAATAGTTAGATATTTACAAAATTGCAGGAAAATATTTATTCTGAATGACCTATTTCTTGAACACGAGTCTTATCATTTTCAGTGTAGAAAAACATCTTGGTAGACACATTTCTGAAATTCTCAGGTATAAGCTTCCAAAGAATAAATCCAAATATTAACATTTCAAGTCATAAGGCTGGTCTTGTAATTCAAGTATGACTCACATATAAATCTGAAAGATGCTTTTGATATTTTTTTCTACATGTAACTTGTAAGCTACAATCCAAACAAGTCTGTCACTACTGAATCATCATTCTCTTCTTAAAACTTCTGTTTCTTCAGCTGAAATTCAAAATGTCTCTGTTCTATAAAATTATATGGTAAATGTGTGAGAATGCAAGTGGGGGGGGTTCAATCTTTTTATTGTTGGGATTCCTAAAAGCAATCATTTGTATGTATTTATTGTTAGATGTTGACGGTTTTAGTCTATGAATAAAGCAGAATGCCTAACATGGTTTATGCTCTGTCTGGACAAGACAGCTGTTGATTTAGGAATCTGGTGTGGCAGTGACCCAGATGGGAATGCATGAGAACAGTGCCTCCTGATGGGAGATCAGCACTCTTAGGCTGCCTGAAATGGGCCTGCAGACTAAACTTAGCCTGAAGCCTCCCTCAGGAAGAAGCCAAGGAAGAGGTGTCCTTAAAAGAAGGGAAAGTTCAGACTAGGTAAAAGTGCCTCAGTCCCATATGGCCTTGGGTAGCATGCAGCTGGAACTAAGGGCTGCTGCAGGAGCTGTTGCTGCAAATGCCATCAAAAGGGAGTGTTCTGTCCCCCTTCCTCACACAGGCAAACGTAATACCAAGCACGCCTGCCAATATTTTATTAGGTAAACAGATTAGAATTCTTGGCAGACCAAGGTTTTGGCAGCAAATTGCCGAATGCCTGCCAAGACCGTTTTCACTCCCATAAAGCAGAAGAGGACTTATCTTCAGTCCGTTCCAGGAGCAACAAATTATCCACGAGACAAGAGTTTAGTCAATGTTCAGTCCAAAATATATCCAAGCCGAATTTCAGAGATCACGCTGTGACTTTCAGGGTTTAACTTTGTCCGTCACAAAGCCTGAAGAACAATCCCACCCACTTTTATTCCTGGTGGGGCATGGCTCCGTGACTCAGCTCAACTGTGGCCCTCCCATGCCTCTTCCGTTGCTGCGCACGCTTCTCCCTCCGACGCTGCCTGGGATCAAGCCAGGATTCATCATCCTCGCTCCCTATCAATTGGTGCTCCGATATGCCTTCCTCCTGGCACATCCCAGGCTGTTCCTCCTGGCCTTCGGATGGAACCTGAGGCATTGTCAGAAAGGAGGGTCCTGGAGAGGGAGGCCTTGTCAGTTCCTCTCCATCACCTTCTGAGTCCTCTTCCTCTGTTAGGACAGGCTCAGGAGTCGGGGTCACAACAGGGAGCTTTGGTATTATCTGTGCCATTGCAGTGCAACCAACACAGCAAACATGGCCAATCACCCTCAGCCCGCCATCCCAGTTTCTAAGCATCTTCCCAGAGGTCATGATCCATTATTTGAGAATCTCTGCAATAAAGTGCATGGATAAAGAAGCAACAAGTTTCTTAAAGAAAAACTGGCCCTAAAAAGGATTGAAAATTAAACTTCTTTCTGACAAACTTGGGCTTGTTGTGAAGGTCAATACACTACCCTGTGCCTGCTTTATTTCAGGGGTATCCAACTGGCTGGGGAATTCTGGGAGTTGAAGTCCACAAGTTTTAAAGTTGCCAAGGTTGAACAACCCTGCTTAATTTTATTCAGTGGACTGTATCTGGGTTAAATGTACATTAGATAAAGGCGCTGCCTAGCTGCTCTGTACTGCAACAATCAGGAAAGGCTATGATTCTTCCATTTGCACAATGTTAATGTTTGAAACAAGTAAAACATATTTCTTACTAGCTGCAAAAAAGGAAAATATCCCGTTGTTTTGATTTTCTCTTTTCCTCCTTTTACAGTGCTACAAGGAACTGGGGGATAATTCTAAAGCTGCACATTGGTTGACTCTGGCTTCAGAGTTGCCAGTTATCACAAAAGAGGTAGTGGTTTTTATTCATTTTTGAAAACAATTAAGGGTTTACAGAGCAATCCACTGGGATGAGGAAAAGAAAAGAAAGGAAGTGGCAGAAGAAGTGCCATGCCCTTTGGCCTGATTACTTCATGTCAGTGGAGGCCCCTTCCCCTATTCGCCACTTGACTGAATGTTTTCTTTTTAATTATAGTTTTCTCTTCCTATTGCTCCCTCTGGGAGAAAAACAAAACCTTCCAGGCCTAAGAAATTTCTTCTTCTAGAAAAAGGGCAAATGGGATGCTGTATTGAAACATTTCTCAGGAAAAGACTTCTTATTTCTCCTGAATATCTGCAGTGGACTTTTTCACTTCCACCTTAAAAGCACTGTCAGCAAAATTTATCTGCTTGTGGACAGTCTTTCTTCATAGGTTGGGAGAGAGGGAACCCTAAAAAATCTTATCGTCTCTAAGATGGTATTCAATGAATTATAAATTGCCTTTTTCAGTTCTAGCCTGTCCTCCACTCCCTGCCTTACTTGTGACAGCTTGTGACATTTTAGTCTTTAGTCTCTTAACGAGCCTGTCACTTCTGCAGTATTTCCAAAATCTGGCTCTTCTCAGACTAAAGGTAAAGGTAAAGGTTCCCCTTGCACATATGTGCTAGTCGTTCCCGACTCTAGGGGGTGGACTTCATCTCCATTTCAAAGCCGAAAAGCCAGTGCTGTCCGAAGACGTCTCCATGGTCATGTGGCCGGCATGACTAAATGCCAAAGGCGCACAGAACGCTGTTTCTTTCCCACCAAAGGTGGTCCCTATTTTTTCTACTTGCATTTTTTACATGCTTTTGAACTGCTAGGTTGGCAGAAGCTGGGACAAGTAACGGGAGCTCACCCCATTATGTTAATACTACTGTAGATATTCTTGTTTTTCCCATCTAGATCAGGTTTCCCTGAAGTGTCCAAAGTTGACATGGGTAATGCTTGGGGTCCTTCTCTCCCTGCATCTGTGGAAAGCTCTGTAGAGGCAGGGAGAGAAAGGTTTTAAGCTCCGTGCCTGTTTGTATTTCTGCTGAGGATCGGCAGGGAGCTCTTTCAGCCAGCCTCCTGAAACCAGAGGAAGTCCTCTTGGCAGATGGCAGCAGCTTACAACCTTCCCTGCTGACTTCCCCATTGACTTTCTGGGGAAGACGACAGAGGAGATTGTAGTACAGTGGACTAAGCCTGTAGTACAGTGGAAGAGCCTGTAGTACAGTGGACTAAGCACTGTTATTAACATCTGCTGCTTGGAATTACTGCAAGTTCAAATCTCACCAGGCTCAAGGTTGACTCAGCCTTCCATCCTTTCAAAGGTAGGTGAAATGAGGACCCAGATTGTGGGGGCAATAAGGTGACTTTGTATAAATATACAAAAGTATGAAGGCTATTGCTTAACGCATTGTAAGCCTCCCTGAGTCTCTGAGAAGGGCGGCATAAATTAAAGCAAAAAAAAAGAGAAAAGATTGCAAATGGCAATTGGAGGGAATTTGACAACAGTGTGAACAAGCTGCCAAGCACCCAGTTCTCAATCATGTGATTGTGGATGTGAAATCTAATCCTCAGGATTGCATGGCTCATAAAATTAATCCTAAATTACTTCCTAGCATTGATTCATAAATGTTTTTCTCCCATTTTTCAGGATGCAGAAAGCAGCAGAGAAATGGAAGAGATGCAAGCAATTTCTGCTGACTAAGGAATCCTGAATACTGTGTCCTACAATGAGCAGTGAAGAAAATTCCAGTCTAAAAATAATCTCACTATGACTCAAACTAGGCTTCAAAACAAACCACACATTGGGGGGGGGGGGGGGGGGGGGGGGGGGAGGAGGAAACTACTATTTCACCACTTCTTTCTCAAAGATTGTAGCCGGCAATACCAAATAGTTAAAAAAATGTAATTCAGCTCTCTCCCTTATCACAAAATAAGACAATCCTAATTAACGCCTATGTTTACCTATTTGTAGCATAGATGCTGGCAAATCCATTAGTATTTTTTCCATGCTGCCTTTGGAGTAATACCCATCTAGAAATTTCTAGTACATACATTTTTTTCAACAATTTCTGGGAAAATTGAGATAGCATCATAAAATATGTAGAATTATTTATAGCAATATAACATTGCTTGTATACTCCTTATAGGGGCTCCTAAGTGCTAAGTGCTTTGTTCATGTCATTTGAAACATCTGCTGGGTGCTTATACTATATTTTGCTCTTAGAGAGCAAAGAATAGTTTGGAATGCCATTGACTGAAAAGAAAAAACTAGTGAGGAAATTCTTTGATTTTTTCCCTTCTCCTAGTATCATAGGTCTGAGTTTCTTCAGTGATTGTTTTAACCTAAAGAAATATCATGAAAGTTTGTTAATATATTGCCTGAGTTGTATCTAATGTGGGATGAACCAATAGATCATGGCCTTTGGGGAAAATTGATTATTTTTGCCAAATAATATATTAATTCCTATATCTGTTATTTATTTAAAATGTTTGTTGGTTTTATGTATAAGAATATATGTGGCATATGACACAAATATTTGAAAAGTTGAGGGAGTGACATGGTAAAATCTACTGATGCTGTTCCATGTGACTTATAAAATGCAAATTTAGGTGTGGTTTAATAATATAAAAGTAAGAATGCTAACTAAATTACCATATATTACTATTCAGGAAATTAGAGTTATTATCCATTATAACACATAATGGAAAATATTCAGTTGAAGTGCAAACCTATTAATCTTTTAATGTTCAAATACTTTATTAATGTTTATTTACTAGTTGACAGGGTAAAGGATGGGGCCTGGTGTGCTGTCCTTTCTTGGAATAGCACAGAACACCCATCTGCAGCATGTCCAGAAACTGAGAGGTCCTCCTTCTAGTTCTTAAATGTTTTTTGAAAGAAATAACATTACTGCCAGAAAGAACAATTAAACACTGTTAAGCACAACACAAAAAAGAAGAATTTGCTTCAATTGCAGGGCTTAAAAAATACATACCAATACATTCCCCCCAGGATTGCAGAGAAAGTACATTCTCTGCAATTCTGGAGATCATATGTTTATTCCAGTGTACAGCATGGAAAGAAATTATATTGAAAAAAATATTAAAAAGAGAGGGACCACGTATATGTGAAGAGATTCTATAGGCTAATAAGATGTGCCAGAGATGTATGTAACATAGATAACATTAGTGAAGATGAGATGGAATTATGTAATCAGTGGGTTTCCAATTGTTGTAGACCAAACAATTTTCCAGAATACAATATAACTGTTTTCTATGTGTACTTTGATTTTTGGCAGTTATTTTTGAAACCATCATTTCATAATAACAATAGCTATATTATTACAGTGAGATTTAATACACTTTGCCATGTTGGACATTTCTGTACGATGAGATCAAATACAACTTGCAGGAATTTGACCCTTCTCATAAAGATGGATATTCCATTACTCTTATATTGCTTTTTTTAATTTTACAAAATAATGTGGAACAAAAAGCAATATTTTAGTCCAAAATAATGGGTTTTCCCTGTTTCTTCAATTTGTAACCAAAAACATCTAGAACCCTATCTTATAAGTACTGTATGCTTCCAAACCAACAATGTAAAGCCCAAGTTTCATTTAGATTACAAAGAAATGTGATGCTGCTAAGATTATAAAATCTTATAAAATTTTGCAGAGGGAATAAGTACTGAGAATATACTGCTAGCTTCTAAACGAGTGGATTTCCTTACATATCTTCAGTAATAACCTATACATTGTTTAATGGAGCTCCCAAAATTAAATTTGAAGAAGTATAATATTTAAATATTTTTACAAGACATATGAATCCTTAATGTAATAATTCATATTTTAAAAACACATATTTACTGGCACTGTTAATATTTTACTCTGGTAATGTAAGACCAAACTCCCCCAGCTTCATTTCCCATGCAGTCTTCTATATAGCCAGTTATTGTTGATTTCCTCATTTTGTTGGCTGGAGGAAAAATTCCTTGTGGAACATACAGTATCATGTTTTTATACCTTGGTTTGTTTTATATTCTAACGAGGTGCAGAGTATATTCAATTTGAAGTCTTACAAAATTAAATGTGTGGCATGTTCCAAGGGCAAAGAAATTTGCCCTTGCTGAGAAGAAAGAAAAATACCTATACTTTATTGCTTTTTCATGCAAATCATTTCAGTATTAGGTTCAAAATGTGCAGAAGCAAGTTTGATGCAGAAATTTTATTCTGATTGAAGCACTCAGCTGTTCATCTAAAGCAGTGTTTCTCCACCTAGGAAGTTTTAAGAGGTATTTTCAGAATTCCCCAGCCAACATGCTGGCTGGGGAATTCCGGGAGTTAAAATCTACACTTCTTAAAAGTCACTGAGGTTAAGAAACATTGATCTGAAGAATCTCTTGCGAGATCTGTGGCCTTGTTTGCAGAGAAGAAGCAGTCCATGCCAATGTCAATTAGCTTTATTAATATTTACTTTCAGAACTCTGCGTTTATTTAGCATTTTTATTCTATGTTAGAATTGAGTTTTAAGATGTAACTTTGTCACCTTCATAATTTCCAAAGCTTATTTTTCTGTTTTGACGTAGGAGAACTTATATCTCATTGTGTAACGATGTTTTATATCATTTTATATAACTGACTGGTTTGTGATTGCAGTTAATTAACTGTTCCTTCTGTTTTAAAGATTGTAGCCAAAGTGAACATGCAGATACCTAACATTTGACTTTTGTAAGAAGTTGACCAGTCTACTGGTACATGTTTGTGCACTGAATATTATTGGAGTGGCAAGTTGTGTAAAGGTTTTATGTCAACTAATCAAAGTTTCAGCTGCCTATTTTAATACCATTTTAGAACCAGGCTCATTATCAAAATTAATATGACATTGTAATAATCAGTCATGGCCTGAGACAAAGCGCCTGTGAAAACCTCATGTAGCAGGCAAACATTTAGAGAAAAATAATGGTGCTGTGGTTGGTCAGAGTCTTACAACCTGGTTTGATAAAGACTCCAACCTCAATCCTCAGAAACCATCCTTGGTTATAGATATTCTTGGTTATCTTTGCCTTTAAGCCAAAAGACTCCAAGACTAGCAGCAGGCTGCAGACTACAACTAAAGAATTCCTGATTTCACCTTAAACATTTTCATATAGATTTTCTTTGTTCTGCAGTCTCCGAGTTACATTTGTCTTTATTAAGGCAGTTAAACATTCCCAGGTTAGTTCTTCGGGAATCATGACAGTGGATGAACTGTGGCTGCTTTTCTAATTCATGGAAATACAGTTTACATTTTAAGTATAAAAATGTGAGAATTTAGCTAATGATCAAAAGTGTTGCCTTTGAGTACTTTTTAGAAAAGACTAAAAAGCATTTATAAAAAAATGAAAAAAAAACCTATACTAGAAAACTGCAGTGCTATATCCTACTACCCATGTATAGACTCATTCAGACTTCCCACTGAGTTAATATGTATGGGTTTGCACTGCATTGAAGTATACTTTGCTGATTTTGCCACATTTTAACATTCTATATGAATTCTTCTGAATTAGGATCTTGAATGATTCCATATTTGTTGACCTTATTAATATACAAATGTGTGAAAGCATTTGTGTTATATGATACTCTTGGACTGCCTTACAAATATTTTAACATTGCATACAACCAAACTAATGTAGGATGGATTCTAAAGTAACTCACAAAAGCAAAGGCAATGAGATTAGGAAATTAAAAGTATCAATCCTTGATGCTGGATTGGCAAACTATCTTTATAAGTGTCAAATTCTAGATCTAGTCAACAATGAATGGATGATATTTTTGATTAAAAGAAGACATTTGGTATGACTAAATTCAACAGTAGTTGTGTAGGCAGAATATTTTCCACTGATTAATTCTGTATGTAGTTAAGACTCCAACAGCCTTTCCCCTAAGAATAATTGCATTGGAGAAGATACAGTCAGGTGGAATTAGTTTAGAGTTTTGAAGGCTGGAAGAAAAGGCTTGATATATTGTTCAGGCGACAGTGTCTACATAATTTGCATTAATGCAAGGAAACTTTTTCTTACAATTGTATCTACTCCTTTGCTTTGAGAATAATGTTTTAGTGTTCCAAACTTCAAAAGATGCCTGTGTAATTAAGTATCTTGAATGAGATGCAATTACAGAGGAGAGTAACCTTTGTTCAAAGGTACTTGGGAAAGCATTGGTTCTTTTTCTTTAGAAGGTGTATTTTGAGCAGCCTTATGTCAGGAAAAAACATGAATGTGTGACTAATTTTGCTGATTAACTGTGAAATTAAGGGCGGGGATACTTTACAAATGCACTGCCTCCCCATTGCAGGCACTGAAAAATTAAGGTGAAAATGGTAATAGAAAAAAACATACTGAATTACTGACATTGAGATACTTACTTTGAGTCTCTTTAAAGACAGCAAAAGAAGTCTCCATAAAAATTTCCTAATTGTACTTTTGTGCTTTAAAAAAAGTTAATACATGAATTGACTGTAAAGTAATTTAAATTTCAACACAATTTTATTTGAAATAAAGGTAAAAACACTAAAAGTATGTGCGTTGTTTATTCTACATGTGATTGTAGCTTGGATCCCAAGACCCAATGTATGGGGTTCTACTCACAGGATATTTGCATTGGAAGAAGAAATATTATCCCAAAGGTGCTTTTTTCAAGAGGCAACTGGAATTTCTGGTTTTTCTTTGAAGATGTTTTGCTTCTCATCCAAGAAGCTTCTCATCAGAAGCTAAAACGTCTTCAAAGAAAAACCAGAAAGTCCAGTTGCCTCTTAAAAAAACACCTTTGGGACAACCATGGTTGTCCTGGATGACTTTGTCTCCATAGACAAAGAAAGCTATTACTTTCATTGATTTTCCTTTGGACTTCCTCCTTTTGAACAACACAATAATCTGTAACTTGATTAAGATATATAAACAACCAATATGATTTCAAAAAGATTCTCATTATTTATATCCATAATTAACAACACTGATGTATTTAGGGTGGCTGTAGCAAAGATACAGAATGTCTACTGTAGCCCCTCCATTTGTGGAAATGGGAGATAAATTCTATCTCATACGCTCAGTGGTGACATTTGCCTTTCTAATGCTGCTACATAACTATCCAACTATGAAGCTATGATTCAATCACAATTGGATGGACAGTATAAAAAACTATAAATAAACTATTAAAATTATACACCACAGCTTATTATTTTTGGCTTCCTCATGACTCTCAACAATTATACAATACTAAAACAGTCAAAGTTAAAACTTAAATTGCAATTAAAATAATGCAATGCAATCCTGATGCACAGTACACCCTAAGCTTCTAGAATAATCTGATTTTAATTAGCTTCCAAAAGACCATTATCAGTGGAATCAAGCCATTGTTGTTCCAAAAATAACAAACCAATGCTGGGCTTTGCCTTTATTCCAAGGAATGTGGGCCAGTTCTTGAATGGGAATCCGTAGATGCTTCTCATGTTGTTTAGGAAATGGTATCGGATGATAAAACATTGAATTCAGGACAACAAAATAGCAAGATCGAACGTGGAGATCAGCATATCCTGCTGCCTTAAAATCTTTCTCCATAACAGAACAATATCTCATCTTGATTAGTCAGAACTGCACTCTATAGAAACATGGCACAGAGTGGTATTTCTAGAGAGTTTTCAGAATAATGAATTTCTTTATGGCGAGCTCAGGAATATGGCACCCGAATCATAAATATTGCACTACCTTCTAGGGATATACTATAGACCACGGGTGTCAAACGCGTGGCATCACATTGCCGTCATGTGACTTTTGTGACTTTCCCATTCATGGAGCTGGGGTGGGCATAGCTTGTGCATGACGCATCCGGGCCGCGGGCCGCCAGTTTGACACCCCTGCTATTAAATCATAAGCTACTCAGTTGTTGATTATGCCAAACATCTTCCTTATAATTCAAGATACAAAAATGTAAAGCTATTTTTGGAAGTTTACAGTACACTGTAATAGCTTAATTTTTAAAACTCAGATATCATTGTAAATCGTGGTGTTTTTTTCATCTCGGAAATACAGCTTGAGCCAGTGAACCAGTCATGAGATTGGCATTGTTTCTATTCTAGTCACTGTTTTTTCCCTACCAACTTTTCCAATTTACTTCGGGTGGTAGTATTTCTAATAAACAAGAGCATTTAAAAAATTCCACCTGACCTGTTACAAGCCTTTATTTTCTTTTCATAGACTAGACCTGCATTTCTGCAAAAGCCTTTTGGAGCACAGGCTTTTAAAGAGATCCTAATGTATAATTCCTGCCTGACCACTCTTACCATTTAATTTTTATTTCTTTATTCTATGTTGGATGATGTAATGTACTTTTGCAAAAGTGAGCACTGCTTTATTTCCCATAATAGAATATGTATTTTATGAGCTAAATTCCCATTTAGAATTTGTACACTGATAACAAGAGTCCAGTTACAAACTTTTCAATAGTTAATCAAGTTTGTTTTCTAGAACGTAGTGCTAAAAAATTCCTTTGTTCAGCTTTTATTCTTGCTTTGAAACCATCAGGGTTTTTTTTGTTGTTGTTCAGAAATGAAGTATTCAGGCAAAAACACTCCCTTTCCTCCCATTTCAGCCACTTTGGCAGGCTTATGTGTTGATAAAGTAATGATGCTTTCAACATTTGCCTGAATACATTAATTGCAGGATCATTTTGCATAGATGTGTTTTAACCATTTCCCTGAACATACTCTGCTAAAGATCAATTTCTACAAAATATGTGAAAGATCCATTTGAAGAAAACGGGCAGAGTAAAATATTGTTCAGGAAAGAAATTCCAATCCCACTTTAGTATTTTTGAAGAATCTTTATTTAGACACTTGCTAACTAATCTGTCTCTGTGATATTCTATCTGAAGTAAAGACTAGTATTAGTATTCCATTTGACCTTTTAAAAAGAAATGTAATTTCACTTTATGATCATTGGCTGCCAAACTTTATCATATTATGATTTGCACACCAAAAATGCCTCTGACATGTTAAGATTCAAATTCCTAATTTTTCCACTGTGAAAAGGACACAGATGTTCTCTCCAGTGGTAGCTCCAGAGAGTTGACTCAAGACACTTCGTCATCGCAGAGGAACACCCATGGGAAGCATCAATGTCTCTGCAACTGCCTGAAAAAAAAGGACATTGGCAGGTAGGTTCCAGAGTTAGGCAGATACAATTGCTCAGAGGATTGTTATTGGACTGGCTCCAAAGAACAACAGAGTCCTTCTGTGGTTTTCTGCTAGTATGTTCAAGTCATTGCAACATTCTACACCATGTTACTCCCACCAGTAATCTCTGAATAATGATAAAACTGGAATTGTAAACCAACTTTAGTGAGGTTAGATTTGTTAAGCTTTTTATTGACTTCTATTACAGGAAGAAAAAGATACAATTTTATCTGGTATTATTTCTATTACAATTTTATACTTAATTTTTTATTGTTTTAGTAAGGCTTCTTCTAAAACTGAAGGGGGAGGGATTAATGATATTTGTGCTTGGACTCTAAATAAAATTCTTACATTGGTAATTTACAAATTGCACATTTCCATTTGAGTAAGTCTCACTTGAAGCATTAGGACTTGTTCCAGAATCTAGGTAATTCCTCTGACAAAAGCTTTTACCGTTTTCTTCACTTACCTGTGAATATATGTAAGAAAGAGAGCAGTAAGAAGTCAGCAGAAACCTTGTCAAATTGTTTAGTGGGTTGCTTAGATTTAAACTTGGAACATCCCAAATGTTGAATTAGCACTGTTTGCATCATGAGTGCAAGCACACCAGGTATAAGTGTTTGTGTGTGCATGTGCATTTTAACTTTCAGACTAGAACAGTTCTCTAGTAAGACAGATAATAAATAATCGTCTAACTCAGTGGTGAAATCCTCTGCGGATTGCCACTAGTTTGCTGCCCGTGCAAGTACGGTGTGCGCCAAAAGCATTCTGCATGCACGCAGGTACAATGCACACCAAATGCGCGCTTTGCGTGGAAAAAGGAGGCTTAACAAGTAGAACAGTGGGGGGGGGAACAGCTGTGCCGCGTGATTTAGATTCGCTAGAAAGCAGGATTTCCTGCTTTCTAGTAAATATAAATCACGTGGCACAACTGATCGCCAGAAATACTAGTTCGGACGAAGTGGTAACTTTTTTTTACTACCAGTTTGCCCAAAACAGTGCGAACCGGTAGCATTTACTACTGTAAAATAATTCCTAACTCTTTTTCATCTCAACTTTGTAACTGGATTGGCTCATTATATACCATAGTTGAACCATAGTTTGAATAAACCATGATCCACTGGTTCTCACAGCACGCTAAACCAAAATAAAACAAACCAATGTGTGATGTATGGTATATGAATTAGGTCAATGTCTTAGATATACTCTTCCATAGTCCTTTTCTCTAGCCTATATAAGAATATACATCCTTAGCTTATGACCGCAATTGAGCCCAAATTCCAATTACTAAGCAAGACAGTTAAGTGAGTTTTGCCCTATTTCACATCCTTTCTCGCCACAGTTACTAAGTGAATCACTCTAGTTAAGTTTGTAGCACAGTTGTTAAGTGAATCTGGCTTCCCCATTGTTTTGCTTGTCAGAAAGTTTGCAAAAGGTGATCACATGACCCCAGGACACTGCAAATGTATATATATGCCAGTTGCCATGCGGCCAAATTCTAATCATGTGACTGTGATGATACAATGGTTGTAAGTGTGAAAAATGGTGGCAAGTTACTTTTTTCAGTGCTGTAACTTTAAATGGTCACTACAAGAATGGTTTTAAGTCGAGGACTACCTCTAAACATTTGTGAAAAAGAAAAAAAACTTTATTCAGGGACATTAAATCACATGTTTTAAAAGTGCGAAGTAATTGAGATTTGAATATTATCATACAACAACCTAAGAAAATAATACTTCATGCAGAATGAAATGCTTTAAAATTCAATAGTTTTAGGTTTTTTTACTACTTTGCACTCAAATTTATTTATTTTATTTATTTATTTTATTTTATTTAATTTATATACCGCCCTTCTCCTGAAGGACTCAGGGCGGTGAACAGCCATAATAAAAACAATGTACAAAATAGAATTTAAAAGCAGATTAAAATAATTAAATCATAGGCCGAATTTAAACTCTCATTTTAAAACCAATTTTAAAACCCCATTAAAACCAAATTAAAATCATTTATATTTAAGTTTAAAAGCTGCTGTTGTACAAAACTGTTAAATGTTTGGCTACCAAATAAGTAGATGTGCATATAGTCCTCAATTTATGACCACAATTCAGCCCAAAATTTATATTGTTAAGTGAGAAATTTGTTAAGTGAGTTTTGCCCCCCTCTCCTTGCCACATTTGTTAAGTGAATCACTGCAGTTGTTAAATTAGTAACACGGTTGTTAAGTGAATCTGGTTTCCCCTCTGACTTTGCTTGTCAGAAGGTTGCAAAAGGTGATCATGCAACTCTGTGAGACTGCAATTGTCATAAATGTGAGTCAGTTGTCAAGCATCCGAATGTAAATCACATGACCATGGGGATGCTGCAATAGTCATAAGTGTGAGAACTGGTCATAAGTCACTTTTTTCAATGCTGTTGTAAGTCTGAACGGTCACTAAGCAAACTGTGGTACATTGAGGACTACCTGTAGTTTCTATTCACACTTCAACCAATGAATGTGCATGAACATCCTTCCACTATAGAATTCAGTACTAATATCAGCTATTTATCTAAATTTATGTGTTGCCCAACTCCCACAGACCCAGTTAACCCATATTCTTTCCTCAATCCCTGCAATCACTTACAGAAGGCAAAAAGTGGATTAAATCGATTCTGTTCCTACTGTGTGAACTGAACAATCATTTAAGCCTGGGTCTTTCTACTCATGGTTTCCCCCCCCCCCCCCAAAACATGAAAACACGGCTGGATTGTATGCAAGAAAATTCTGCATTATGTGATACGTTATTTTGGGCAGGAAAAGGAATGCATACTATTTATTTATTTATTTATTATTTATTTATTTATTGAATTTCTATACTGCCCTTCTCCCGAAGGACTCAGGGCAGTGAACAGATTAAGATTTCATATACATATAATAATTTTTTTTTATAAACTGTAAATAATAAATTGAGTCAATTTGGTGTATCTGCTAAGACCTTGGCATAGAATTTAGATGTTTATGCTAGCCCTGCTTGTTGAAACAGAAAGGTCTTCAGGGCACGTAGGAAAGTGCGAAGATCTGGGATTATTCGTATTCCAGGGGGTATTTTGTTCCAAAGAGTAGGTGCCCCCACAGAGAAGGCTCTCTCTCTTGGAACTACTAGACGACATTGTTTTAATGATGGTACTAATTAATTTCCTATCTTATTCTCTATCCAAGCTTACAGAATAGGACAAGGGATAAAGGAGGATAAAAAAGTATTATCTACATTGCTATTTATTTGTAAATCAAATTTGCCGCCTCCCCACAGCTCATAGTGAAGCAGTTGCAGTTGATGGCATCAGACCAAGAAAGTTTTTTTTTTTTAAGGATATAGAGAAGGGGACACCAATTCAACAGCTTTGATCACCTTCAGAGTTAATTGAGGATGGGGGGAGGAAAGGAGCCCAGCTGAAATTTCCTTTGACAGAGGACTTCCTATGTCTGAGTTCCCGCTGCTGGTAAAGGCACCGAAATAAGTAAGTGATTCCAGAAATGTAAGTCAAGGAAAGTCAACCGTTCGTCCGCTTTTCCCGCCAGGGCGCTTATTTCAGAGTTAGAGACACTTCGCGGGTGGAGCTAAGAAGGGCAGGTGATGTCGGTGTTCCTCCGGCTCCTGTCCTCCTCGGCCCGGGAAGCGCTTCGCCTGGTCACCGACAAGGTGTAGGGCAGGGGCCTGAGAACCAGCCCATGGTCGGAGTCCCAGGGAGTGGGACTTATCTCTTCGGCTGGGTTAGCCGTCAGGTCGCACTGGTGCAAAAGGATGGCCGTGAAGAGGAAGAGCTGCAGCTGGGCGAGCTGATCCCCGATGCAGCGCCTTTTGCCCAGCGAGAACGCCATGACGCGGCAAGCGAGCTCCCGGTCGAAAGTCTCCTGCTGGACGTCCAAGAAGCGGGCCGGGTCAAAAATGTGCGGGTCTTTCCAGCGGATCCGATCGTGGTTGACAGACCACTGGTTGACGAAGATGACGGTGCCCTCGGGGATGTGGAAACCGTCCAGGCACACGTCGGCGGTGGTGGCGTGCGGGATGGTGACCGGAACTAAACTGCAGTAGCGCAGCGTCTCGTAGAGGAAGGCTTCCAGGCGAGGCAGGGAGGCGCGATCGTCAGCCGTCGGAAGCCGCTCGCGACCCACCACGCGGTCCAGGTCCGCCTGCAACCGCTCTCGCAGCTGCGGGTGTTTCAGAAGCAGCAGCAGCAGCCAACCTAGAGCAGCCGACGTGGTGTCCTGACCGGCGGCGAAGAGATCGCTCAGCGTGCCTTCCACGTAGTCTCCGAGGGGCCCTTCTTTGCCCCCGGGGCCCTGCTCCATGCGGCCCAGGATGGCGTCGCTAATGTGACGGGGAGAGGAGCCGGGCTGGAAAGTCAGCCGATGCTGCGCCACCTTGGCGCGCACGAACTCCAGCATCTCCAGGTTGATAGCCTGGAAGTCGTGAAAGACGCTGCGCACCGGGTTGGGAAAGTAGAGCAGCCACGGCAGGACGTCCACCAAGCTGCCCGCCGCCACCGTCTGTCCGAAGCGGTCGTTCCTGCCCAGCAGCGCGCGGAACTCGGCGTCGGCGTGGCTGTAGCGCCGGCCGAAGCAAAGGGCGCACATCACGTTGGCGTTGGCCACGGTCAGCAGCTGCAGCGGGTTGACGTAAAGGCCGCCCTGGCTCAGTTTCGTCAGGCCGTCGATGAGCTCCTGCGCCTCGGCCGTCACGTGCTGCTCGAAGAGTCGCTTGTTGGCCGCGTTGGCCGTCGAGAAAGCGTGCAGCGTGGCCTGCGCCACCCGCCGCTGCGCTCGCCAGCGCTCCGTGTAGCGTCCGAAAGCCAGGCTCTTCCCGCCGGAGACCATCCGGAAAGAGGGAAAATCGGGTCTGCCCGCGAAGGGCCCGCTTTGCTGCACCAGCGCCTGCCGGATGGTCGCCTCGCCGTTGAGCACCACGATGGAGCGCAAGCCCAGGCGGAGCTGGAAGACGTCGCCGTAGCGCTCGGCCAGCTCGCAAAAAGTGAGGTGAGGCAGGCGACCCAGCTGCAAGGCGTTGCCGACCAGCGGCCATCCGACGGGGCCGGGAAGACGCTTGCCCGGAGCCGCGGAGCGCTTGCGCGCCCAGAAGTACAGCAGGAAGGCGCAAGAAAGCAGCAGCGCCGGCTGCAAGGCGCTCCGGAAGAGTGCTGCGAGCTCCCCGCCCCGTCTGTCCCCCGTTTGCACCATCGTTGTGGCCCTTTGGGTTTCTAATTCCCGCCTTTTCTTCTCTGCGCCTCAGATGCCTGTTGGGGAAGCAAAGACCCTCAGGCCGAGGGCGCGGGGCCTTCCTTTTGTGCCCCCCCCCCGGCTTTTGCACTAACGGCTGGTCCGTGGCGATTTTATAAGCCGTCTAAGTGGGTGTGTGCCGAGGCGAGCCTGTCTCCCTCCTCCTCCTCCTCCTCCCGCTCCTCTCCCCCTTTTTGCGATGGTCCCAAAGTCCCCTGTGCGCAGCCATGCCTTGCTTCCCTTCCAGAGAGAATAGCAAGAGCAAGCCGAACCAGCACGTTAGGAATGCGTGCAGCTTTCCAAAGCCCGCTTCCTGCCAGACAGGCCTCGGAGAGAGTGGCTGGACGCTGCCAGGCACCTTTGGCTGCCTTGGAAGGCTGCTGCTTTCGTGACTGGAGAGCAATGACCAAAACCAGCAAAGGAAGAAGAGGACTTGAAGCTTTGCCTACAGGCCAAGAGCCATTGCTTTGCTGCTGAGGTTCCTGCAGTTTTTTTCACTGGCAGCCTCATTTTTCCCTCTCTGTGAAATGGGATACAAGTACACTAAGCAGATTTAGGTAAACCTAATATAAACCAGGTTCTACTGGGCTTCCTTGGGCAGCTGGTTGGCCACTGTGAGAACTGACTATATTCTTATTAAAATATTTACCATATGACACAGTGTTATACAGGTAAGTCTCAACTTACAACAGTTCATTTAGTGACCGTTTGTAGTGCCTTTTTCACACTTAGGACCATTGTGGCATCCCTGTGGTCATGTGATCAAAATTCAGATGCTTGGCAACTGACTCATTTATGACAGTTGTAGTGTCCTGTGTTCATGTGATCACCTTTTGTGACCTAACAAGCAAAATCAAGGGGGAAGGCAGATTCACTTAACACCCACGTAACTAACTTAACAATTGCAGTGATTCACTTAATTGTGGCAAGAAAGGTCACAAAATGGGGCAAAATGTCTCGCTTAGCAACAGAAATTTTGGTATTGTGATCATAAGTCGAGGACGACCTTATACTAATGAGATTGGTGGGTGGAGGCAGCTACAGTATTCTCTTTTTTTCTTCTCAGTGTTTACACTGAGCAGAGTCTATTTTTTTGAGATCAATCAATCCATTAGTTATGACAAGACCAGTGGTGGGTTGCTACTGTTTCGCCCCGGATTGGGCAAATTGGTGGCAGCGGCGGGAGGCTCCGCCCACCTGCCTGGATGCCTTTGTGCATGTGCAGAAGTGTCGTGCGCACAAGCATGTGCACGCCCATGAGCAAACCAGTAGCGACCCACCCCTGGACAAGACATGCAACTTTGATTGCAACATTGACTGATTGGCTAGTTGTCTGAAGTTGTGGGTTGAGGGAGAGTGTCTGGCCCAAAGTCACTCTTCCAGTTTTCATGACTAAGGTTGGGTTAGAACTCACAGACTCCTGATCCGTAGCCTGTGCCTTAATCACTGCATCAAACTAGATGTCTAAGAGCCCATTTCCCTATAATTCAAATTGTAAGTGTCTTGGTATCTCCATCGGTCTTCCCCAACTTGTGCTGTAATTCCCATATTTCCTTACCAAAATAGACCATTGTCAGAAGTCAATGGTGACTCAAAGGCACCAATAAATAAATAAATGAATAAATAAAGGCATGAGTCAGCAAAGGATTTGTTGGAGGTCAAGCATAATATAAATAAATAAAGCAAGCCTCTACAGGTCAGGTGGAAGATAGATGCTGTCACTCTATAGAGTGCAGAATTGACAACAAAATTTTCTGCAAATCCTTGCGATCACTGTTACTGTCTAAAATGGGGTGATACAGTTTAATATTTTACAGCTTCAGACATTTTCCCATTCATTTCCTTCTCCTAACCTTCCTCACAAAGAAAGAAACAATATTATTTGATCATTGCCTGCCAGTTCTATAACTTGTTGATCACAGTTGTCATGCCAAGTGGAACGATTGCTCAAGTGTTCTGATAGGCTTGTTTTTGGCAGAGTAATTACAGACAAGCAGTGTTTTGCGTAGATTTCTGAGAATTCGGTGTGGTTTTTTTTGTTGCTTTTAAGCAAGATTTAGAGCTAAAACAAATCATACTACTTGCTTGATTTTCTTTTTTAAAAAAGAGAGACTATGCTTTATTACCAGATGTGTGTGTAATTGGGATGTGCCTGCTAATACTTTTAAGGGCTTGCTATGCTGATTTTCATTAGACCTTTTCTTCACTGTTGAGTTGAATTGCTCTCCTAGCCATCACTGAATCAGCAAAAATACAATTGCTGTTCCTTTTGCCATTTTGCCCCTTTTATTATTTCAAGCCACTGCTAGTCACTTGACTTCTTTCTATAAGCTTCTAGGATTTCATGGGCACAATAGATTGCATACTTAGACGCTGCCTTTAGAATAAAAAGGTAAACACAATTGCAGGTAGTCCTCGAACCACAATTGAAACCAACAACTCAGCCATTAAACAATGCAGTTATTAAGTGAAACTGCAACTATGCTTATGATCTTCAGTTTTAGTGCATCCCCCCCCCAAGGGACCATTGTTCCATCTAGCTAATCTAACTAATCTGGACAGCTTCTCTCCAGTCTCCAACCTTCCCTTTCTGAGGAACATTGTAGAGAAAGTGATTACACAACAGCTTCAGAGGACCTTGGATGAAGCAGATTGTCTGGAACTCTCTCTCAGAATTCAGGCCAGAGTATGGGACTGAGATAACATTCATGATGTTCTTGGATGAGCTCTGTGGGGTGGGGTGGGCAAGTACATCCATCCTTGCTGTTCTGTGATTCATTTTATTATTGTTCACCGGCCAGACTCACTTTTTTCAGATAGGCAGCCATATAACTTGAATAAATGAAAAATAAGAAATAATGAAGAACAGGTAAGGTGAGAAGAGAAAAGAGAAGAGGAAGAGAAGAGAAGAGAAGAGAAGAGAAGAGAAGAGAAGAGAAGAGAAGAGAAGAGCCGTGGTGGTGCAGTGGTTAGAATGCAGTATTGCAGACTAATCCTGCTGACTGCCGATTGCCAGCAGTTCAGCAGTTTGAATCTCTCCGGCTGAGGTTGACAACCTTCCATCCTTCCGAGGTGGGTAAAATAATGAGCCAGATTGTTGGGGGCAATATGCTGACTCTGTAAACTGCTTAGAGAGGGATGTAAAGCACTAGGAAGCAGTATATAAGTCTAAGTGCTAATGTTATTGCTATATAGGCAACTTTATGGGGTCATATCATTAAAATATGTTTCTAGGTTACAAATTGTGGTTCAGTACAATGGGAAATCCCCTTAGTCTGCATTTAATATTGAGAAGGCTAGGACACCAGTATTGTGGTATCCAGCCTTCTCAAACAGATCTGTCTTCCAAATTTATGAACTCCCATAATCTCAGCTAACACGGCACCCACTCTTGGAAGATTACTTTAAAAACTAGCACAGATTAACTATGGGATAACTTTTAATAATAACCATTATGCAGGAGCATTGGAGTGCAGATGGCAGGGAGTCAAGATGCTGGATGTAAGTGGTGTCCATGAGAATAAATTCGGAGGCAAGTATGCCGTGTAGACCAATATGAATCCCTGGAAAACAGTTGGGGTATAAATCTAATAAGTACATATGCCCTGAGGAGATATCTTTCATCAGAAGTAAGCAGATTTTAAACTTGTAAATCTTTTCAGAATCCTGAGATCACTAGGCAGTTCTAAATGAAAAACAGTAGATGAGAGTGAGTCAGAAGCAAAAGGCTACTTTTTAAAATCTGCTGCATCTCACAGACCATAAATTAAATGAGAGAATCTGCATATATACATCTATGATAGATCAAGGGTTCAACCATAAAGTTAACAAGTAGGGATGCAGAAACACTTGGTCAAAAGCAACCACTACATATTTGAGTAACTGAGGAAATAGTGTTATGTATAAGACCAGTCATTGGAGGGAGGACTTTGTAGTATTTGTATTTTTACTTGTTACTATTACTATGATATTACTGGGAGCTGAATTCCCTTGCAACTCTATTGCAAATTATATAGCAATCTATCAGTAGATCCTGATATACTTTAGGTTTCCTTTTGGATTGAAATAGAAGGATAATATCGCTAGAAAAAGACCCCACAGATATTGAAGTAATTTTAATGAAAATATCTTAGTTATTAATATCTGGGGCATTGGGGTTACTCAGCAGTTAAGATGCTGGGCTTGTTGGCTAGAAAGCCACAGCCCTGCTTTGAGACCTGAGCGACATGCAATGGGGTTAGCTCCCGTCCTCTCCCCAGCTCCTGTCAACCTGTTGCCAAATGTGAGTAGATAAATAGGTACCACTTTGGTGGGAAGGTAACAGAGCTTCATAATGTCATGCTGGCCACATGACTGCGGAAATTAGAATATAGAATAGAATAGAATAGAATAGAATAGAATAGAATAGAATAGAATAGAATAGAATAGAATAGAATAGAATTCTTTATTGGCCAAGGAATTTGTCTTTGATGCATATGGTCTCAGTGTACATAAAAAGACAAGATACACTCATGAAGAATCACAAGGCACAACACCCAGTGACAGTCATACGGTACAATAAGCAATCAAATCATACTAGGAAACAATATCAATATAAATCGCAAGGATACAAGCAACAAAGTTACAGTCATGCAGTCACAAGTGGGAGGAGATGGGCAATAGGAAAGATGAGAAGATCAATAGTAATAGTAATGCAGACTTAGTGAATAGTTTGACAGTGTTGAGGGAATTATTTGTTTAGCAGAGTGATGGCATTCGGGAAAAAACTGTTCTTGTGTCTAGTTGTTCTGGTGTGCAGTGCTCTATAGCGTCGTTTTGAGGGTAGGAGTTGAAACAGTTTATGTCCTGGATGTGAGGGGTCTGTAAATATTTTCACAGCCCTCTTTTTGACTCGTGCAGTATACAGGTCCTCAATGGAAGGCAGGTTGGTAGCCATTGTTTTTTTCTGCAGTTCTAATTATCCTCTGAAGTCTGTGTCTGTCTTGTTGGGTTGCAGAACCAAACCAGACAGTTATAGAGGTGCAGATGACAGACTCAGTAATTCCTCTGTAGAAATGTATCAGCATCTCCTTGGGCAGTTTGA